CTTTTAACAGCCTTTTCTTTTACGGATTCATTTCGGATTAATATTGCTTTATATTGTCACATTTTTTATTTTATTTATTCTTCTTATTTCCACTTTTATTATTCTTTTATTGATTTTTTTTGGAAATTTATTATGCTGCGTTAGTTTCTGTGATGCCACGCGGGTGTATTTCGGAGGTGAAGCTCAGCCGAGGCCTTCAGGTCACGTTCAGCCCCTGATGGACACTTAAAATGACCAATAACACAACATCAGCAAGATTCTTAGTTAAATTATGTTCTTAGTGACGATTCCTTGTGTTCCTTATTCACCAGGTAAGTCTTATAGAGTTTCCTGTAGAACTCATTGTAAAGAAAAACTCAACTGAAACCAAAGTAAATATTCATTCGTTATATCTTTATTATTCAAACCCTTGTTCTTGTCCAACACACTGCTTGCCTCCAATTCTTTTCATGAAACTGAGAAATAACCCAAACACTCTGTTATTTCTGAAAAAATATTCACCATCTCTCTACCTAATTAGGACAAGTGTGGATTTGTGCAACCTGGGATTTATTTTGTAATACTACAGACGTACTCTTAAGACTTGAACTGACAGGATTCCTCACAGGACACGCATGAGGCTACTGTTTATAGACCATCTTTACAAAACTAGTCTTCAAAAAGAGAAGTGGCCTGAACTCACTACGTCAGGCCGAGTCGTACTACAAGTATCTGCAGAAAAACAACAAACAAAACAAAACATTGCATCAGCTTAGTGGCGTCTTTTGATCAAGATTTGACTTCAGTGACGATGACGAAGGCTGGGATCTCCTCCTTGTTCTCTGTCACATGATAGGAAGCCGACACCTCGTTTTAATCTGAGCACAAACATCGATGGGACATGAAACGGCGCCGTGTTGTTGAATTCCTTCGCAGGGTTCATCGGATTCATGTGTTTGCACAGCGGCCCGTCCTTCACATTGTCGTTATTCCAGTTCATGCTAATCCCCACAGCCCAGCGTACTTGCATATCCGGTTCTGTAGCATCGGGACGTGTGGTGAAACTAAATGGTGTGGCCTCGTTACAGGAAGGTAGCTAACGTTACTTCTGCTCCAGAAAGACGACGAACACTCGTGAATGAACGGTGTGATACATTCACTGTCCATGAGGAAAATTTCTCTCTTGTTGCTGTAATAAAACAATATAAAAACATTTAAATACCATTGCAGTCGTGTTCTACCACAGTTCAATTTAAAACGTACTAGCGCTAGTTTGCCCTGACTGGTTCTGTCGGAAAGCAGCGACGCGGTGACATGCTTTCCTGTTAAGGTAAAGGAATTTTAATACTAGCTCCAGAGACACCAGTCCTTCTTAAATAGTGTAAAATGTAGTGTTTGATTCCAGTAGTCAGTGTCTGACAAGTCCAACGAGTGTCCGAAGAGGATTCAAAAAGATCTCGTCGCCAGTGTAAAACTATTGTTGACTGAGGCAGAGCCGCTGCAGAGTCCTATAGGAGGGACAAGAAGCCGTTATCTGTGGAGTCTTGCTGGTCGGATTTGCCGCCTCGAGAGCTCTTGCTGGGGTTTGGAGTGGTGGAGTATTTTGGGGGGTATCTGATGAAGAGACGGTCCTCCTCCTTTTTGATCCATCTCAGAAGCTTAGTGATGGCGGTGATTGCACAGGCCTTGGTCACCAGCGGGCTGAAGCAGGTGTACAGCTCAAACTTACTCGTGACCTACAGCGGAGAGGAAACGGGACGTTTACAGTCGTGGTTACAGGAAATGATTCATGTTGGGAAACACACGCCATCGCTTTGTTGATAAAAAGATCTGCACCAAGCTCATATCCATCCATCATCTACACCTTAATCCTCACTAGGGTCATGGGGGGCGGAGCCTATCCCAGCTGACTCAGGGTGAAGGCAGGTTCACCTGGACAGGTAACCAGTCTATCACAGGGCTACACTTAGAGACAGACAACCAAGCACACTCACATTCACACCTACGGACAATTTACAATCACCAATTAACCTCAGCATGTTTGTGGACTGTGGGAGGAAGCCGGAGAACCCGGAGAGAACCCACGCTGCACGGGGAGAACATGGAGACTCCACGCAGGAAGATCCTGGGTGTCCTCACCGGGACGCCAACCAGCGACTTTCTAGCTGCGAGGCGACGGTGCTAACCACTGAGACACCTTGCAACTACCCAGCTCATATGTATTGAGTAAATATGAAGCTAGGCTACATTAGCTTAGCATAATAGCTGAACACAGGAGGCTCTGTGCACAAACAAATCCACCTTCCAGCTTCCTTAAACCTCACTAACTAACAGATTATGCGTGAATAGTCACCCTACTAAGAAACGGTGCCTCGATAGGTTTAAGAAGAGCTGTTGTCCTGTTTCCAGGCTTTGTGCTAAGCTAAGCTAACTGCTAGATATGAGAGTGGTGCAGATTTACTCAAAGACAGCATTTATAGGTTATATATGTGAACAATGATATAAACGAAGATACACACCCAGGCCAGCAGAGTTTCCCTCTCTGCGACGTGGTAGATGAGCTTGAGGGGTCGTGAGGTGCTGTGGATGCGGCTGTGCATGTAGCGGTAAAGGTCCAGCAGCCGCATCTTCTCCTCCTCGCTGCCGTACGGCGCCTCCATCTCTGGGCTACAAGCAGCAACAAGTTAAGGCACAAAGTTTAGACAACTGAGATCCATATAAGGTTCAACAATACTACAATATACAGAGAGAAAGGAAGGTACGAAACTAAATTGTGGAAGTAGATTTGCACATTATTTGGAGGGAAACTTTTTCTGAGAGGCGTGTTGTGTAAATTAAATAATAATAATAGGAATGATAAAAATTACAAGAACAATAAGGACTATTACAGATATTGTTGTAGGTGTAGAGCTATTTGCTTAATGTCGTTTTCAATGCCTCGTTTAATGCTTTCAGTTTAGCTAATTCACACAGCTGTATGTCTTCCAGAGAACAAATGGACTTTTGCATTAGCTCTGAATCAAGAGGTGCTCCATCACAAACATTATTTTAAAAACAAAAAGACATCATGCAAGACGTATGATTAACTGGTTTACATGCAGTGTAATCTATGAGCACGTTTCTATTTCTGTTGAAGTAAAGACCAGGTTCTTTCAGCCCTCCTGTGGCTGCGTGACACTGACAACACACACAAACACACACACACACACACACAGATATACACACCTGGTGAACTGCGTGAGCTGACGGTAGTTGTCTGGCACATCAAAAGGCTTGTACATGAAGTGTCTGAGGTCTGAAACTCCCACCTGGCTCACGCTGTACGACTGAGCTTTAGCGATGAGGCTCAGGGAGTTCTGCGTCTCCATGGCCTCCTCTATCTTCCTCTTGCACTCGGCCACAGCGTAGAAAGCCTCCTTGTCCGTCGAGAGCAGCAGCAGGCAAACAGTGCAGTCTGGAGGGTCCAGGTAAGAAATGTATGCATAAAAGTAACAGTCAGGATTAAAGAGTGGGAGGCAGATGGGAGTCCAGATCTCTCCAGCCTGGAAGGCAGAGGAGGCTCCGATGAGGTTGAGCAGAAGGTGAACGTCAGCTGGCTCCAGCCTCGTGTCCTCGATGACAGTCTTTTCTTGGACGATGGTTAGTAATTGGTTCTTGGCGATGAGGATGGAGAAAACCAGATTGGGTGTGATGGCTTTCTGCAGAATCTGGCTGAGAGAGTCCCTGAGAGAGGAAGCTAGAGGCAAGCAGTGCACTGCAGCTAGCAGGAAGCTGGGGTCAGAATCCACCAGGTTGAGGAGGCCGTCCAGGATCTTCTCCGAGCCCGCAAGGAGTCTCCTCAGGTCGTAGTTTTTCTTGTGTTCGAAGATGCGGGATATGCTGGCCTGGGTGAGCATGCTGATGATCTGATAGTACACGTACATTAGCTCTCCACGCAGCTGCTGCTCAGACTGGCGGCTGCTGGAAACACACACCAGCACCAGGGGCCCCTTCTGCAAGAACACCACGGTGTGCTCCTCTGGTGGACGGAGACAGAACGTGGGAAATGGTTAGATACTGCCAGCAGAGACGAATGTCAACCAATGCAATGCTTCATGGCTCTGGGCTCCAGGATATCTGACAGCGTACGGACAAGAAAATTAAATCAAATAGAACATTTTAAAATAAATACAAAGTAAAGTAATTCTGTGAATGCGTGAGCTTGTTGGTGTTGGTTGTATTTCAGACTGTGCAGCACATTTGGCCATTTGTCAATAATTAACTCCACAGCATGCCACAGCTTCCACGGTCACAAACACCGGCTGCCTTTGCTCCTACTCATGCATATAATAAATGTCCGGTCACGTGTGAACACCCACAATAAAGCTGCAAAACTATATTGAAATAAACAAGCATTGATAAATCAGTAACATTCGGCCAACACCCTCACCTGAATAGACCGAGCGGATGATGTTATCTGAACTCTGGACAAAAGACACCAGCGCCATCATGACTCCCATCGTAGATGAAAGAGCCTCCTCGCTGCCGTATCGGGAGTAAATGGGTTTTCCAGCTTCACTTAGCACAAAAACGTGCTTCCTGTGCTGCCGCCAGCTGTCGGCCGTGACATCCTCATCACGATGAGACGTGAACGTTGGAGATTCCTGGGTTCCTGCCTCCAACAGTGGAGACGATCTCCCCTTCACACCAATGCCTTGCTCCTCCAGCTTGGCCTTGGCCAGCATCGCAACGACAAACTCACCAGAGTCGTTCTGGTCATTGTCAGCAGCAGCATCCTCAGTCCCTCTGTCGGCCGGCTGGGCGGACACAACGGGCTGACTCTCAGAGGTTTCTGTATCCTCAGTCTCTAGCTTCATTAACTGGTTAGAGGGAGGCTCGGCGTCCACACTGGGCTCCTCTGCTGTGACGTCTGACGAGTTAGCGGGATCATCTCTGCTCACGGTGGTGCTGCCAAGTCTCTCCACTGGATCAGGGAACATGTGATTCCCCAAGAGGGAGAGAGAAGTCGCCAACGTGTCAGCTAAAATTTAGAAAAATTATGAAATGAATGATGGAAATGAAGACTAAAATTAAAGGAGCTGTAATGAAGGATCATATGGTTTGTTTACCGGGTGGGTTGCTCTCAGACGGGGGATCACAAATCCTCACTCCCTGCGCCTCTCCTTCTTGGTGATTGGCTCTCTCCATGATACCATCCCAATCACTGGGAACAAGAAAAACAAAACCAGTTGTCAACCAGCAGCAGCATCATAACTAATGCATTTAGTGACTGTAGCTGAATATTGAGACCTCATGCATCCCAAGTCTCTGATGAATAGGAGCTCTCATACTGGACCAGCGGTCTGGTCACATGATGAGGGGGAGAGCTACAACTCAGAGACACCAAACAACCTTCGGAATGCAAACCTGATTAGAGCTCCCAGCCGCCGGTCTAATATTACACTACACACAAACAGGCTAATTAATAGTTGACCGCCTGAGCAAAGCAGCTAACGTTTGTTTAACACCAACTTCAGGTGGTTAATAGCAAATGTTAGCGTGTCTGCTAACTCGCACACGGTGAAGAAAGCTTACATTTGTACAGAAATAAATGTTTGACCTGTAATCCCGGCGCCACTCAGGACATGTTGGCTGTAGTTACACGGCTAACACTACCTGCTAGCAAGCGACACACACACACAGATCAGTTTCATGGCCTTGGCTTAACAGTGCTCATGCACACCGCCGTGCTCGTCTGAAATTAGACAGATAAACACACACGGAATGAAACTCACGCTTTAGCACCGTCGAGACGTCGGGTTGAATGTCTAATCTGCTCCGGTAACTTTCATCGGCAGCCCCGTTGCAGCCAAGCTGTCAAGGATGAGAGGCAGAAAACAAATTTTCCTCTTACCACAGCAGACATCCGGAACCGCTGATGACAAGCCCGGCTGACCAATCAGGTGGCTCGGAGGCTCTGGCTGGTCCCGCCCCCTCAGGGTACTGCGACGTAAAGCACTGCGTAAGGCGTTTTAGCCGGGTAATGTTTAGCTAGGTAAGCTCGATATACCACAAATTTCTGTGTGTCTAGTCATCGCTGTATAACGAATGGCGATCCTAAATGTATGTTTTGTTTTGCCCTATATAATAAAATTATAAACAAGGAGACCGAACTGCTTTCCAGAGTAAACATTAGCTATAACATGTAGCTTAGCTCTGTGAGTCCGTGGGGTCTTGTAGCGTTCAATAACACCATTTTAGGGAGAGCAAAGAAAACGACATTTTTTTCTGATAACCTCCGCCATTGTGCATTTTTACCAAACTTCTAGTCATCTGTCAGAGGTCTAGTGTATGTCCGGTATCATATCATGCTTTGCGGGGCTAAACCAACATTTAAATTCAATGTTTTCAAACTCCATTGGTTCCACGACCCTGTTCTGCCATAGCTAGAAGAACAGATCCAAACGGTGCAGTGCGCCCCGGGATGGCATTTTGATATTACGGTCATACAGCACATGTCTCTAGCATCATAGAAAAATAAATTGAAACATGTAAAAGAAAGAAAGAAAAAAAAAACACCAGATTTTTCGTCCGATGGTTTGAATACGGAAAGCAAACTTCGTTTACTGACGGGATGACCTACTTTACTATTCAGTGCAGGTAGTATTATTGCATCCCATAGGCTAAACGTAATAATTTGATAAATATGAGACACTGAAATAATCTGGTAGAACGACAATGAATGTTATAGTTTACCTAAAGCAGGAATTTTTGAGGCTGCGTGCGTCCTGACGTAAAGGTTACGTAATGACGCCATTTCCGGCTCCTCGATCCTGCCCACATAAACATCGTAACGGTGAAGATGGGAGCAGGATAACGCCACCAAGCCAAAGTGATGTCTTTTAAACTAACAGACAGTCAGAAAACCCCCCAGATTCACTTCGCATCAGCCGGATAGCCCGACGCCATGGAGGAGCCGTGGGATTTCGAGTTTTTGTCCCGCATCGCTGACAGCTGTCTGTCGTTTCTCTCCGAGTTTGTGGACGACTGGCTCGCCAACGATATGAGGGTCTCTATATTCAAAATCCTGCTCAGCTGGCTCATTGTCAGTCTGATCGGGATCCACTTTGCGTGGAAAGTCTACGGGAACACAGTGAACGATATGTATTACCGACAAGGTGAGTGTACGTTGTCCTTACCGGCCCAGTGCTTGCTAAAGCTGTGCTAGCCGCGTTAGCCTAATTTCTGTGTGATGTGTTCAGGGACCGGACAGAACGGAGGCACACCTGACACAGCTCCTCACCTCGGTGGATGGTAGGTGTCCGTTTATATGGTCATTTCATCAGGTAGTCTGCCCACCTGACACTCTCCCTCCAGTTTGTTTTAGGCACCATTAATGTAGAAGCTACATCTGGGATCCTGTGTAGCTCACTTTTTAATTGCTAGTGCTTCTGGATGCAGAGTTAGATGAATATAGTCAATTATTTTAGCAGTATTCACCACCATTGGAAATATATGTTATGCCACCTGTTGTTTTCTACACAACAAGCCTTCAACATTCACAGTGGTTAAATAATCACAGCATCTCAGAAAAGACGTGGAAAAGTCTTACAAATAAACCAATACATGCAGTAAATGTTCAAAAATATGATGTATTGGATCTGTATAAATGTCAAATTCATGTTAGATGAGCAATAACATCTTGTGAGCATAGTTTGCGCATAAACTGTTTATGTAAACAGATAATCCAAACTGAATATCACTCAATAATGTCTGAAAGAAAATCACTGTGAGATGAAAAGAAGAGGGATGCAGTAACATGGACATTGTCAACCAGCTGGAAATCAGCTGTCCATTATAACCTTAAGAAGAAAATGCATCAAGAACTGCAAAGAATGAGGCAGAAAACGGTGATCACTGTGCTCTAATTATTAGCCAAAGCTGCATCAGCCACGATAGAGAGGTAGAAAGTGCATAGTAGTTTTATAAATGTTTAATTTTACTAAAATGACATAGCTGTTTTATTGTGTTATTGTTTTGTTGGTGATGACTTTCTGTTTTTCTTGTAGGGAAAGTCGAGCAGGAGACACTCTGAAGACTCATCGGGACTAACAAGACGATGATCTTTGAACTTTATCCGAGTGAAGGCTGGACAGTTTGCATCTTCCAGAGACAATAAATCCACGTTTTTACCTTCAGTGCAATGACGATCGTCTCCAGATGGCTTCGTCTGCCGATCCCTCACAGAAAAACGACTTTTAATGTACAGCAACAGCATCACACTGAGCAGAACCTCCTTCTGCATAAAAAACTAAACTGATGTTTGGCTAAATGGTCCACTTTTTAACTTCTTTTCCAGTGGGATCATTAGAAATGTGAAAATGTTTGCATGTGAACTGGGTGTGCTGTGTTTGTGGGACCATACACGAGGGCAAACACTTGATGTAAATGGTGTCAGGAAGGACAAACACTGTATGTTCCATGTTAGAACACACAGGATCTGGGAGACAGATTATCTAATGGGAAGTCTGACCATAACAGGACTGAGTGAGTGACATTGAGTGCTGTGTACGTGCCTGATTATTGATTAGAATAAGTGTCTGCAGTAAACAGGGTCATTTTTATCACTGCTGTGTAATACTGTGTACGGCCCTTTGGAAGACAGATGCATGAAAATCAGCTCACATCTTACAGATTTTTGTGCTTTTTTTTGATGAATTTTAACAGCCTCTGTGCTTGTCATGTCTACGGAGCATTGTATGCTTACAGCGTCTGTCAAAGTACCCATGTCCTTTAACTCTTTCAGTTCAGCGGTGACCTACAGTAACCTCCTGTGCCAGTGATAACAAATGTTTACAAACCGATCAAAACTAAGAACAGACGTACAGCGCAGACGTACATTCACCCCATCTACGATGACTCATCTACATTCCACATGTTAAAGGACAAACGTGTGAGATTTAGGTGAATATATTTGCAGAAATGAAATAAAAGTATTCATATTATGTTTTCTATGAGTGTACAATCACCTGAAGAAGGAGTGGTTGAGCTGCTGTGACCTCAGGATGAGCTCTTTATATCTGTAGAGGGAGCAGGTCCTGGTCCATACTGCACCGCCATGTTTCTACCAGAACAGACAAGCCAACAGTGGATCTAGAGAGCACCTTTTGCACTTTTAACAGTCTCGGTGTGTTCTTCTAAATGCTGGGAGGAGGTGGGTGATGCATGTAGTTCTGCTGCCTGAACACTAGATGCCACTAAAACTACACAGTGGACCTTCAAATGGCAAAAAAGCTGTTGAATCAAGTTCTTGGCAAAAATTACAACATTCTGAGGAAATTTGTAATGAAGTGCAAATAGGGACAAGGAGACAATTTTAAAGTACTGAGTATTTAAGAAGGCAGCACAGTAGTTAACTGTTAGTGTAACACAAGCTCTGGTTATAATCAACAGAGTCCCTCCATCATGAAGCAGGATGGTGGACTGTGGGAAGCACAGTATTAAATCCTGGAGGAGACCTACTGCATTTTGCAAGAAAAGGCCAAAAAACGGATTAGAAATGTGTTCTGTAAATGTCCTGGAGGAGCCAGTTCAGTGTCGACATCTCGGTCCAATTAGTGCTTTACAGGATGACCTGATCGTGGCTTTCAAAAACACTTCAAGCAGTTTTGCAAGGAAGGATTGGTGACAAAGTGCAATGATGAAATCGACCTGTTGGTGTTTCCCCAGAAGCTTCTTTACATGAGGAGGGTGAGCACACGCTGATAGTTCTTTGTGTTTTCAATTTGACAGTATTTTTCAGTCATGTGTCAAAAGTTTATTAATTCCACTGGTTTTTTTTTTGGTTTTTTTTAAAGAAAAAAAAGGTCAAAACAGGGTTTAATACTTTTTATGAGACATCCTGTGATCAGCTGTTAAAACTAACAACTAATAATGGTAGAGACAGCTCTGCAGGACAAGACAATGCACTGATGACGCACTGAGTTCTTTTCAGATAAACTGAACAACAAAAATCATCATATTTTAGGCACCGGAGTCTCCATGTTCTCCCCGTGCAGCGTGGGTTCTCTCCGGGTTCTCCGGCTTCCTCCCACAGTCCACAAACATGCTGAGGTTAATTGGTGATTGTAAATTGTCCGTAGGTGTGAATGTGAGTGTGCTTGGTTGTCTGTCTCTAAGTGTAGCCCTGTGATAGACTGGTTACCTGTCCAGGTGAACCTGCCTTCACCCTGAGTCAGCTGGGATAGACTCCGCCCCCCATGACCCTGGTGAGGACTAAGGTGTAGAGATGATGGATGGATGGAATTTAGGTACGGTAAGAAGCTGGCGAGGCACCAGGACGGGCAGATTAGATTGTTGTCATACACATTTCTCATTGGTAGAGCTGTGTCTAACAAAATAAAATAAAAAATAGCAGTGATTTAAAAAAATATATTTATTATTAGCCAGTCCACATTTTTTAACAATTATGCTCTCTACTGAAGAAATCATTAATACTGATAAAACCAGAGACATTTCTGACAAATTCAACCCCTAGTTTCTACCTGATCAGGTCAAGTCATTTATTAATTTTCTATCCCAATCCACTGGATGATTTAATTTGATGAGGTTGGAATTATCTTATGTTAATGGGAATCGCTGGGATAAGTAGCATGTGCACATCCATCACATTAGTGCAGGTCAGGCCGGGTACAAGCAAACGCTTCCCAGCAGAAAGACGAGACAACAACGTGTAAGAATCATTGTTGGAGAGGCAGCTGTCGATGTCCAGCCCCTGTGATTGTGCTTCATCACACAAGCCTCCATCAGTGATGGCCCCTGCTGCCTCGGTGGGTCCATCCTGACCATCAGTGCCCCCGCTCAGGAAGACGGGACCATTAGGTGGGAGCTTCAGACCTCTCAGCTCCAGTCCCACCCGCAGAGCCAGCTCCTGGTTGCGACCGCCTCGGCCTTTGCCCGTTAGCTCCACGGTGGGCTCCCCGCCGGCTAACAGACACGTGGCGCCCCAGCCCTCTGTGCGTCCTTCGTCCATGACCTGCATGGTACGGCACAGGTCCCAGGTCTCCACCCCGACCTCAGGCCCCAGCCTCAGCAGCTCGGCGGCAATCTCTGGAGGAGGTTCCTCTCGGGAGCAGGCGAAGCGGGCCAGAAGGCCGTAAAGTCTAGAGACGGCCTTTACATCACCACACACTCCTGGTGAAAGCACGACAGGGCGGAAGCCGAGCTCTCGAGCACGGCGACCTGCACACTTCAGGGCAACGCTGTTAGAGCCGATCACTGCGTTGAGAACGTGTCCTGATGCATCGGATTCATCTTTGTTCTCTGTCCATCGGGGCCCTGGCTGCCCGAGGACGTCCTTTACTGACACCGGCAGAGAGTTCAGTAGCTTGTAACGTTCAAGGATGGATAGAATTTCCTCAGGCCACACCTCACTCCTCACTGTGGGGCCGCTCGCGATCAAGTCCAGTGGATCCCCGATCACATCAGACAGTATCAGGGCCACCACCTGTGAAGAATAGAGGAGCGTCACTGGACCCGTAGACCTGAAATGACTCCAATAAATAGCTGTTTAATAAACATAAGCCTGTTACCTGAGCGGGGTGAGCGTGATGTGCAAGACCTCCGCCCTTCAGGAAAGAAAGGGCGCGACGAACAGTGTTCAGCTCTTGAATCGTGGCGCCAGCAGCTGCAAGCTTGCGGGTGACGTCTAGTTTCTCTTGCAATGAGATGGGTGGGATGGGTGCAGGTAGCAGCGCAGAGCCTCCACCTGGATGGAGATGAACCAGCTTGTGTTAAAGACTACACTGAGCTAAAAGAACTCAAGTCGACAATTTCATTTAGCTTTTATCCAAAGCGACGTACATCTGAGAGTAGATCACATTCACACACCAACGGCCACAGAGCTGCCATGCCAGCTGCTGCCTGCCATCGGGAGCAACCTCTGGTTCAGTGTCTTGCCCAAGGACACTGTGACTGTGGGGTGGGCGACTGAACCACCAACCTGCCGATTAGAGGCCAACCCGCTCTACCACCTGAGCCACAGCCGCCTTCAAATAACTTTATTTATCCCCTAGGGTCAATTCAAAATTCATTAATCAGCAGTAAGTGAGAGTGTTACCTGAAATGAGGACCAGCAGCAGGTCCTTCTCTGTCAGCTGACTGGCCAAATGCTTGATCCCTTCAGCTGCCTTCTGGGCGTCAGCGTCAGGTAAGTTGTGTTTCGCTCCCTCCATCACTTTGATGCGACTGTTTTCTTTTAACAACAGATGGCTGCGATGGAAGCAACAAATGCTGTTAAGCTTCATCTCACTTCCTTCACTATTTGTTGACTAGTTTGCATGGTGTAGTGTTGCCTACCCTTTCCCGTGCTGCTGTAGCGTCTGCTGGATCCCATGTGGCACGCTGATGACTCCTTTGACTAAATGATCGCCGAGGATCCTCTCGGCCTCGGCAGCCATCCCCAGCACGGCCTTACCGAAGCCCACCAGGTGCAGGTTGTGTTTGAGTGTGAATTTGTGACCGTCAATCGTGACCGAGTCCTCCTTGCGCTCGATGCTCTGCCGGACCACCGTGTCTGGCTGCACGGCCTCCACGGCGGCCGCAAACACTTCACGTGCCCGTGAGTCCATTGACATTTTGCACAATGTGGGTTTTCTTCTGCCCACGAGGGCCAGAAAAGGCTGAGGCCGGAACAGGGACAGAACGCGGGCCATGGACAGTTCAGTGGGTCTGAGCAGAAGCTTCCTGAGGGATCGAAAATGTGAGTCACAGTTTAGAAAAGCAGCACAAAAAGAAAATGTCGTATATATTACAGCTATTCAGAAATAGTTTAGTGATTATTTGTCACTTCTATCAGGCAGAGGTTTAACTGAATATACAATTATTCATGATATCAAACATTATCCTTAAAAGGAATCTTTGTGGAAGTTGATGGCGCTGTTCAGTTATTGCTCTGAATAAAACCTCAGTTAATATCTTGCACATGATTAAATCAGGGTTAAACTAGTGAGTGATGCTGTTTTATCCATATTTTACCCACATTAATTAACATTTCCCTCTTGTGTTACCTGCTGGAAAGTGTACAGACTTTCACCTACTTGGTTTGCGTTTATATCAGCTGAATCCTGACTTACATCATCCCCCTAAGTCAGATTTCCCTTCAAACCTGTGCTTTCTCGTGAGGCTGCCTACCTGCAAAAGCTGCAAACGGGATATAAAACCTGTGGATTCCTGTGGAAAGCTGTTGCGTGTGCTCCAGCTCAGCAGTGAGGCGGCGTTGCACAAATGTGACCGGACACTGACTGGAGCTGTGTACTCTGTGTGTAATGATTGACTGGGACGGATCACAGGCCACATGGAGGCACTGACCACCCAGCTGGGAATCTGTCTCTTCAGCTGGACTTTCTTTTTTTTTTTTAGCCACAGCCTCGGTGAACAAAAAAACGAGGGCTCAGTGATACCAAAAGTCAACTCAGTTCAGCTGAACGGAGTCATGAGTATCTGGCAGACTTTGGAGCCATTTATGCTGCGGCAGAGTTCAAAAGGTGCACAACTGAAAGCTTTGTGGAGTCCTGGACGGCCAGACCTGTCAGTGAGGCATGTCAACACAAGTGTGCATTGTTTATTTATACTATAATTATAGTCTCATGTCTGGTAAGCCTCATGCAGCACCACATACAGTCTGATACATCAGCATGAAAACAGAAGGACTACAGACTACTGTATGAGGTGGAACTCATTTTGAACTATTTTTGTACAAGACTGCAGTGAATGACTGTTGTCAGTGTGGCCTGATCTGCTTTTATCTTCTCAGTTAGTTTAATATGGTTTGTAAAAATTCTGGGAAACAGTGAGAAACACCAACACAAGTCCTCAACAGAAGTTCAAACCTCAAAATTATCAAAATTACATCAAAATGACTAAAATAACTGAAGTGAAAAGCAGCAGACCTTCACATTTGTGCAGCTGGAATCATGAAATGTTTTTACATTAACGAAAAAGTAAATGTTTAGCGAAACAGTTAGTATTTTAATTAAGTGATTAATTTCCTGTCAATCAACTGATCATTTCAGCTGCACTTGTATAAAGTTTGGAGTACTTTAAAGAGCAGCCAAACATCATATTTGATATGTTTTATGTGCAATTCACTGTGATTTGTAAAGTTAACGAGTAACTAAAGAAAGAAATAAAGTTCAAAGTGCAATATTTCCCATTGAAATGTAGTAGAGTAGAAATAGAAAGTAGAAAATACTTAAAGTACAAGTAGCTCAACTTTGCATTCAAGGACAGAGTTGGAGTAAATGTAATTCGTTACTTTCCACCACTGTTAGCTACTACGGAGTCATTTATTTTAATATTTAGGTAAAGAAAGTAAAATATTTTGATGCATCATGGCCTCTCCATGTTTGCATTATTTCTGTGTTAAACATAACGTATTTACTGTTGTGTGTTCAGATGTACTATCCTAGAAATACAGGCCACACAGTAGGAAGTTTATGCAACAGAAGTCAATACAACAAGTTTTTATTCTTTTCAGTACTTTGTGTACTCAGTACTTCTCTTTGCTCGAGGGGCTGTACTGCTCTAGCTTCCTTTTTAAATGTTATATTTGATTCATGGCGAGCGCCTTACTTGGCTGAGTCATGTTGTCTCGTTTTCTTGTACAAACCGTTGTGTCCTTTGGATCATTATAATACTGGACTACGGCTCTTCTGCCAAGCTTCTGGGAGTCATACTGTCTGTCAGTATATCTACAGGCAGTCCTGGTGCCATCTATAAAGTCATCTGCCTGACACCTTCTGAACATATCATGATGCTGCCACCTCCATGCTTCACTGTCAGGACCATGCATCCACTGTGGGGGTTGGGGGTCCTGGCCATGTTCACGCCAGACATGCTGAACCCCATCTGAGCCGAGCAAATTTATCTCATCTGACCAAAGAATGTGCTGCCAACATCTACCAGGCTCGTTTTTTAATGTGGTATGTTTTATATTAGAGAGCAACACAATGTTGTCTGTAAAGGTTCACGTCAGTCCTTCACTCTGAGCTGTCACAGAAACCAATGTTCTCATTATAACACCTGTACCACATCTGGAGCTCTCACCTGTCTGGTTTTTAGAGGAAGGTTGAGAAAGTAGCTTGTTGTCCATGCTGGAGTTTTAGGAGGACGGCCACTAGTTATTAGTTCTATATATGTGCCTTCTGGTTACTTTCATTAATGTTTCTGTATCATTTTCCATCTTTGTGAAGTACAAAATTAGATTTTTTTTTTTTTTAAATTCCAGTGGAAATTATTTTTCATTTTTATCCAAGATGCTGACGGGCAGATAGACTCAGTCCAACAGAACAGAGGGTTCTGGTGTACACAGGTCATTTTCTAATCATGTTAATAATAATAATTAGGCGCTGGAAATCACAGGTTCACTCAGGTCACAGCATCACAGGTTTTCTGTTTGTGTATCAGCAGTTATATGTACAAGGCCTGTGTTTTCATTATAGTCTCTCCAGTGATTAATCTTGACACAAAACACTCGTCAACTTTGACATTTAAACGATTTTGTACAGAAGTTCACTCACTTCTGTTGTAAACTGTACATTTAATATATGAGCATTATAATAGAGTTGGACAGAAACGTACCCCATGTGAGATAATATTATCCATATTACAAAACTAAAATAAACATATCTGATTACACTGTTAGATATTTAAGGATAAATGAAACCAATAACTCTGTTTAATTAGTTTTTTTTATGCATATTCAGTCTTTAAACAACGTTCAACAGAAACACACGAGCATCAAACAGAGAAGATAAAGTTCATACCTCAGACCTTCCTTCCTGAGAGGACGTGAGTCCTGCTGGAGCTTCTCCTGCGCTCATGTCGCTGCTTGGAGCAAAACCTAGAAGCTGTCAGTGAACAGAGCTGCTCACAAACAGGCAGAAGGTGCTGGAGGTGGATCCAACCAGAGGACACCTTCTCACACAGGTTATAGCAGAAATGAGTCCAGTCCGGATGTTTGCAGGTGACGGAAAATAAATAATACTTTACTCTTAACTTGCTTTAAGTCGCAGGGTTTGTTTAATAACGTTACTGCTGTTTGTGTTTATGGTTCTATGCAACTATCGCGATAACTTCCTATCAAATCGCGTGGTTTCCGAGCCGATGCGCGTGTCAGGTGATGAATATGCGCGTAACCGACGTGGCGAAGGCGGTGCTTTTCCCTCCTCACTGCCGTGGATAAAAAAAAAGTGTCACAGGCGGGATTCCGTCGCTGTTTTTGAACTAAACTAATTTTAAAAATTACGTTTTTGCTCCGCTGCGGTCTGTACATCCGCGGGAGTTTGCACAAGTGGCGTCTGTGAGGCTTTTTAAAGTGAACCGAGGGCCTGCGTCCCCTCACACTCAGACAGGCTAGCCATGAAGCTAACGGACAATGTGCTGCGGAGCTTCAGGGTCGCTAAAGTGTTCCGAGAAAACTCAGACAAAATTAACTGCTTCGATTTTAGCTCAAACGGAGAAACTATCATTTCCAGCAGCGACGACGACTCGTTAGTGTTGTACGACTGCCAGGAGGGAAAGTAAGAGCGGCTTCCGGTTCATTTTACTAGCGTTGTTTTTGACGTTAGCTCCGTGCTATGCTAGCTAGCGAGGCCTAGTGCGCCGCGCTAGCGCTCAGCAGCGATTTTATGAGATTTAATATTTCTGTGTGTGCACTTTTTAAACAACTGCAACCATAATCCTGTAATTTTCTCATGTCTGAAGTTATATACTAGTAAAGAATGTGCTTTGTGGCCATCATATCATTTGAAGTATTTTTTTAGCTGGCGGCTATAATCACATTTTGTATGTGAGTTTCTTAAAACCAATATAAAGAACTTGTCAATAATAGTTATTCCACCAGCCTGTTTTATAATAGGCCGAACTAACAACAAATACATCACTAAAGCCATTTAATATTTTGATGATTAGTTTACAGCTAAAATGTCTGTTGATTCCAACTCACCAGATATGAGCACATGTACTGTTTTAAATCACTAAATTGAATATCTTAAGGAGATTAGAGGCTTGGATGGACAACACAAGCATTTTGAAGATGTTAGAGATTTTTCTGACTTTTTATAGATCAAACACTTCATCAGCATTTAACAGGAATATCCAATAATACGTGTAGTTGCAGCTTTGCCTTTAATCTGAATTAATCTGACCTGCAGGCTAAAGACACACATGCTCATAATGACATGTCAGCACCGACATCTTATAATTGGTGCCTTAGAGGCCAGAAAATCTTCCTATGTTCACTACATAAATATTTTTAATAAAGAAAAGCTACTAACTCTGCATTAAAGGTGTAAGTTTGGTATGTTGAGGCTTGTGGTGATTATATGACAGCAGCTTAACTGAATGAACTGATCTGTGTTGTTTCTGATTCATGGCAGACCCAAGAGGACCCTCTACAGTAAGAAATATGGAGTGGATCTGATCAGGTACACACATGCTGCAAACACTGTGGTCTACAGTTCCAACAAAATCGATGGTATGTGGATGAAAACGCTCGCAGTTTCTGTTCAGCAATGTACCAAGAATTGTGTAAAAGCTGATGTGATGGCAGCTTGTAGAAGTTGTTCAATGATCTGATATGTTTCATGACTTAATGATGTGATAGTATTTGGTGGTGATGTCTGGCAAAGTCATTCATAATTTAAGAGCATCCAGGAGAGGCGACTGCTGTGCATCTCAATGTTCTGCCAGATTCTTGTTTTAACATGTTTATTCTATCAGCATCGTGATGTGTTTTACCGGTCGGACTGTAGAGATATCTGCCAGGGATCGGTGCTGACGGGGCGCCATGTGGACGCCTGCTGCTGGATCACAAGGTTCCCCCTGCTCACTTTGGTCTGAGGTAGTTGTTTGTACAGTTTGAGGGTCTGTGATTCTGCCCCATACAGGAGCTAACTGTACAAGTGACTGCCTTGCCCACGGCTGAGTCTGCTCATCTGACCTGCTTGTAAACGACTTCACATGTGAATGTCTGCTTGGTTTTTGCTGCTGCTGTTCATGACATCGTGATGCTATCCTCAGTTTAACGGTGTCCCTTACTTTCTTTCAGATACCATCCGGTACCTGTCCCTCCATGATAACAAATACATCCGCTACTTTCCTGGACACAACAAAAGGTGAGAACAGAACAGCACCTTGATTTCATTCACAGCGTCTTGTTGGACGTTGCTGTGTTCTTATGTTGTGTTCTTGTGTCTTTGTGACCAGAGTGACGTCTCTCTCCATGTCTCCTGTGGACGACACATTTATTTCTGGCTCATTAGATAAAACTATCAGACTATGGGATCTGCGGTCACCTAACTGCCAGGTGAGGATCTCTGCCTCCAGCTGGGGCTGTTCTGTTTGTAATTTATATTGTGGTAAGAGTCGTATAATCACACTGACATTCTTCTCTGTTTGTTTTAGGGCCTGATGCACCTGCAGGGGAAACCAGTTTGCTCCTTCGATCCAGAGGGCCTCATTTTTGCTGCTGGAATAAATTCAGAGATGGTTAAACTTTATGATCTTCGGTCATTCGACAAGGTAAGAGGGTGTGTTGGTGTTTGAGAGAGAAGCTGTACGTTAGTCCGATTCATGATGGATGTAAAGTAAATAACTCTCCTGTCAACAGGGTCCCTTTGCAACCTTCAAGCTTCAGTACGACCGGACATGTGAGTGGACGGGACTGAAGTTTAGCAACGATGGAAAACTCATTCTTCTTTCTACCAACGGTGGAGCTCTTCGCATCTTAGATGCTTTTAAGGGTGCTGTGCTACATTCCTTTGGGGTAAGAGACAGACAAGGGAGGAAAACACGAGTCTGTGGAAGTGACAGACCTTTTAAATCCAACAAAATTAGATATTGTTCATGTTTTTGAAGACCAAGATTTGAAACAACAAACCGATTATAGATGTTATAAGGTTTAACGTGCAGTTCCAGATTATTTTACTCAAACTACCTGCTCATCGACTCTTCTTTTACCCACAGGGCTATAACAACAGTAAAGGTGTAACGTTGGAGGCTTCATTTACTCCCGATTCTCAGTTTGTTATGATCGGTAAGTTAAAGTTCCCATTTCTGTCTAGTCACTGCTTTAGTGTTGAAAAATTTTAAGAACAAGACGTTTATTGTGACCGTTATGACAAATATTAAATTCACCATCAGTTGATTTGGGATTACAGACAAACTAATGACACTTATTCCAAAATGTTCGTGATGCCACAAAGCGAACGTTTTACCTGTTACACAACATTTATCTAATGTGTCTCAGATGTACTCGACTCAACAGACTTTCTTTTTAAAGAACAGAGCTCCATCTTGTAGGAGTTTTTTGTTAAATGTTTGATGTATTTCAGGCTCTGAGGACGGGAAGATCCACGTGTGGAACGCAGAGAGCGGCATGAAGGTGGCTTTATTAGACGGGAAGCACACGGGTCCGATCACCTGCCTGCAGTTCAACCCCAAGTTCATGACGTTTGCTAGCGCCTGCTCCAACATGGTGAGTGGAGGCAGCGGTTGAGCAAGTTCATTCCTAAATGTTTCGCCATCTTAGTTGAAATCAGAACTGATAGGAGAGGTGTTTGGTGACAAGTTGACGGGATTTAAGCGCTGTTCTTACAACATGTGGTTACTGTGACACGAGGAGACGGCGCTCGGTGCATTTTTGCAGCCGGCAGATCAGGACTAATAAAGAAGGAGGCAAAGTAAATTGGATGCAGCTGATTTAGATCTAATAAAACCAACTGGTGGTTGTTAAGAAGAACGCTTCTAATTTAATCCAATTAATTATAAAGAGTACTGGACGGTTGTTCGATCCTGTGGACTTCACATATAACCAGAACACGTCGTGTTTTATCTTCCAGGCGTTCTGGCTCCCCACCATCGATGAGTGACGGCAGAACGGTGACGCCGAGGGACCAGCAGGGGGCAGAGCAGTCGCTCCGTGGGGGCATCACGGGGAGTGTGGAAAAAATGAAATTGTAAATATGGAGTTCACAGAAATAGATCACTTGTCTATCGTTTTTTATATTTTCTATTTAACATTAAATCTTTTCTTTGTAAGCTATTGGTGTCGACTCAGTTATTGTGGTCGTTGTTGGATTTTTAAAGAACTGGAGCAGCACAGAAGAGAGTTTATAGGTTTAACCTGTGTACATATTTAGGTTTTTAATAAACATTTAAATTCAGACTCACTGAAAATATATTGAACATTATTCTGGAGGTAAAATATTTCTCAAAGTACAAACTGTTTTATGTAAATACTCCGGAAACAACTCACAGTGTTTGGTTTTGTTCCTTTAAGCTTTTCTTTCATGTTGAGTTTGTTTCACTCTCAGGTTTAATTCTGAGTATAAATCACAGCAGGAAGTATTTTTATCTCCAGTTGTCGGTTTTGAAATTTGTTGTCTGAGATTGGGGAGAAATGCAGGTTCAGGTATTTTATAGCAGCAAAAAAACATCTTGCACAATGTGTTGACCGTCGGCGTCGTCATGTGAAGACGGGGACGGACGTCAAAGTGGAAAACGTGAAGTAATCTTTCCAAAGCAACGCGCTTCTCTGGATCAGATTTATTGTTCCGTAACATGAAGCTGCTGCTGCTGCTTTTGTTTTGTCTACAGAACTCAGATGTACATTTATGATTCATAAACATCAGAATACTAGTGTTTTATTCATCTAAATAGGAAAATAAAGATTCACTGTGCTTCATGCTGATGTACCTCCGAGTTAAATCGTTCCTGGTATCTCAGAGTTTGATAACCAGGTTTGCAGGTCATGCTCTGCTGCTCCTGGTCTGTGGTGGGTTGTTCACAGGCCAGCTCAGCCCTGGACAGTCAGTGGGAGCTATATTTGGGAGTGGAGGTGATCAGGTTCCCTCTCTGTGTGCACATGATACTGTCCTAGTTACTTGAGCAATGTCCCTTCTCATAGTGTCACACAGTCTGAGCGAGTCCAGACACACTCAGCGATCTTCTTCTTCAGCAGTCGCCGCTTCTGATCACCATCAGAGCTGAAGGACGCTGCTTTCACGTTGGGACTCTGGTTGGACTTTGGTTTCTCCTGACTGGACTGAGTATTTTCGGCCTGGTGCTGTGGAGCTCCAGTTCCCGTCCGCTGCTTCTCCTCCGTCCGTCGACCGCCCCCTGCTACAGCCCCTTGGCGGGAGGAAGACGCCGCTGACCCGCCATGTTCCTCGCACTAGTGGTGACGCCAGAGCTGAGGCAGTTCCTGGCCAGGGCAAGAGGTGGAGCAGTGCGCCTCATCAAGGTGCGCATCCAAGACGGTGAGTGACCAGGACGGTGGAGAGGAGCTGCCAGAGATAGGCACGAGTCCAGTGGAGTGAAGTTTTGAGTCATTTGTCATGGTGGAAATATAAGAGAAGCATTACTAATTACCAGTTTAGTGAGTTAAAGTGTCTCCCAAACCTTTTAAACTTAAATTAGCACTGCAGCCATGTGCTTTTATGGATTACTGATTGATCCTAATGTCAGAAAATGGTGAAGAAACATCAAAACACAACATCTGGAAGCCCAAAGCGACACCTTCAGATGTCTCGCTTTGTCTGACCAGCTGCCCAAAAACAACTAAAGAGCTTCAGTTGACAATAATATAGAAGATAAACTACAACGAGGGGTTATTCGGCAAGAAACAAAAACGCTGACGAACGTATCTCCTTAGAGTTCAACCTAGAATATCTTTTTATAAATAAATTAGCAGAAAGCTGAAGGGTTGAAAGGCCTCAAAACAGACGTTCATTTTCATCCAGATGGTTAGAAGACTCCTTGGTCATTCTGTAAGTGGCTTTAAATCAGATGTAAATGCAGTTGTTCAGCTCTATGAGTCTGTAATGGTGCCTTCAGCTCAACCTCTTCATACCTGAGAGCTGTACAGTTCATATATAAGTGGACATGGTTGTGTGTTAAAGGGTCAAGAGCAAGAAAAACAAAAGCTTGCCACAGACTAGGAAAGAGGATTGGATGAGTCAGCTGAGCAGGACGATGGTCAGTGAGGCGGCAGGTTCGCTGATAACGGAGGTGGACTGAAATGTTCATGAGGTGTTTACATCTTGTTTTGGTTTCTGACAAATGCCGAGCTGTAACATGATTCATGGCAGAGGCATTCTGGGACTTTTTGGGGGCTATCTTTGTGAAGCGTTCCTATCATATTAAATATTTGGGCTCATATTTGGAGGATTGATGTCAGTCGCGCAGCAGACGAAGGGCGTCAGGTCTTTTTTGCTTCCTGACTGAAGCACTTTGATCTCTGGCTCGGCTATTTGGAGCGACATGTGACCTGTCATGGCAGCGTGCTGACGCTCAGACGCTCGTGTTTGTTCCAAAGTCAAAAGAGAAACGAGATCTCTGAAGCCGATTTCATCACCAGCGTGCCACCCAGCTGTTCCCAGAGAGCCTCATGACTTCACCGTTTTGTCCCAAAGCTGAAGCAACAACACACAACACCTCATCGTCTACATACAGCTTCATCACAGGCCCACGGAGGCAGGAGAGAATGGCAGATGGAAAGTATGTGCGTGCAGAGCTGGAATGTGTTGCGGCCCAGAATAGCAACACGCCCCGAGAGCCGGTCAGGAAATCCCCCCGCACCCCCACAAGGGCATCAGACTTTGGGTTGATGTGTGTGTTTTGTGTGGGTGTCATCAGTGTTTGTCAGAACCGCAGAGAGATTTAAGGCAGCCTCGTCAAGTCGGTCAGAAATTAATCCAGCGGTATTTTTAACTCAGTCTTCCTCCGCTGTCACCGAAGAGGCCGTCGGACTGACCAGCGGCCTCATATAGGAAGAGGTTAGTCAGCAGAAACCGTAAATCCATCATGTGGAGCTGCTTGTCTCTGGTGAAGATGAGCATTTGTCTATTATTGTCTGACATTTCAGTGAATAATCACTAATAAACTAACAATAAAACACATTTAATAGCAGCAAAATTAAAAGAGTTAGCCACATTTATTTCCTCTTTTCTTGACAATGTAGAGCAAGTTGTGAGGTTCACATGCATTCACCCTACAGCTGTTCATATTCTGCATATATATATGTACACTAGGCTCCAGCCCCCTGTGACCCTCGTGAGGATTAAGCGGTTTATAGATAATAGATGGATGGATGGATGTATACTGTGCTTGACTTGATGGATCTTAACCGGTCCTGTCAGAGGTCGAAAGGAAATTAAAACCAAAAAATGTCCAAGTTATACGTGAGAAAATCTGTATATTTGCATGTTTAACGTCCCTCTGCAGTCACTGATTAACACCCTGACAACTCATCTATATAAAGTTTATAAGGTACATTTTTAGAGGTTTTTTCTTCCAGCCTTAAAATGTTTTATACGTAACGCCAAACCTTTGCTTTGTCTATAATGAGCAGATTTATTCAGCCGTATGCACTCCTCGAGCACACCAGCTCACCTGAGGCTCTGCTCAGACACTTTAAAGCTGGTCCATGCTACACAAAGGCTCGTTGTAAGACTGAAGTAAATCCATGTTGGAGCCAGAAATCAGTTCTGAAGGACAGGATTCGTTCCTTTGGTTTGTTTTTGAGGCTGTCGTCGCAGCTGTTTCACTCACGGTGTGACTTTCAGCACATAAAAACATCATAAGGACATGTTGACAAGGACGGGAAAAAATAAAGAGATTCACCAGAGGAGGTCTTTAAAACTTAAAATAAAGTGGTTAAAAAAAAGACCTGAAAATAAGTTCCAGCTTATGCTTTAAAAAGTACATTAATAACAGGAGTAAACCTGCTGATTTAAAATAAGGTTTGTATTATTAAAATAGGTTTGACACTTGTTGTGCTGCACTCTGCTGTTTTGTTTGTGTGATTACTGAAAGGCCAGATTAGATAAATGTCCAGGAGGTGTTTTAATTGAATCTAAAGGAAACTGAACCAATGACATAAGAGCAACTTTGACCCACTGTCCATCTTCACACTACCATCATCCTCCTGTGTGTGGATCATGACTGGCTGCTGTGTGAAGGGCGCGCTACATATAGGAGGTATGTGATGAGTACTGCTCTGACTTTCAGAGCAGCTGGTGCTGGGGGCCTACAGAGAGCCGGAGCAGAGCTGGGACCAGGACTACGACCACTTCCTGCTTCCTCTCCTGGACGACCAGGAGCCCTGCTACATCCTGTACCGCCTCGACTCCCAGAATGCACAGGGCTACGAGTGGATCTTCATCTCGTGGTCTCCGGACCAGTCTCCGGTAAGACAGGCCGCTTAAAGCAGGAGGACTTAAACAATAAGAATAACATCGGAGGCTGCAGCTCCTGAACTGGATTTAAAAACTACTGCACGATACCAATGAGGCCAGACACTCAGCAGGATAATACACACAGACAAACAGCATCAGCACCATATGAATGTAAACATAACTCAATATCAGGGCACCAGCATCACCACCAGTACATATTAGAGTTAATGAGTTAGTTAAAAAATGCACTGAGCTCCTCCAGCTGTGAGCAGGAGTTAAAAGCAGATCATGCTAGCAGGTCTTTTGTGAAGCTTTGGTTGATAATATGGAAACAGATCAGATAAAAGGCCAATAATCAAAGTACACACATTACACTGCAAATAATCTGGGACTTGCCAAAATTTAAAATCTTATTTTTAGACACGATAGATAATCTGACTTGTTATAAAAGTTATTTACTCATTTTTAGTCCTTGATTTTACAGTGCAGTCTTAAATTGAGCTTTAAAAATCATATTTCAAGATTTCTTATCAAGCAAAATTTACGTGCTGCATGGACAAATGATTTCACGAGTTTTAAATCATTTTCTTCTCCAGTTTAGTGTTTATATCTTATATTTGGGGGCTGCCCTTTTGTGCAGTGAAAAAGAAACGTATCATCACTTAAGAAGAAACCTGAGAAGGCGACCGTAGGCCTGGCGTGGGTTTATTCCAAAAATACAGAATCCTACATTTCCTATAATCATTACTTCACGCTCCTTTTTTTTTTTTTTTTTTTTAAGAAAATACAGGTTTAAACTCCCAACCTCAGGATTGTAAAGCAAGCTTTCTCTTAAATCCTTGATGACAATACTTAACTAAACATATCCTTTTGTATTTTTTTTTAAATTACACTTGAGTTTGTAATATTAGTTTGTTTTTAATTTGTGTAAGTTTCCATCCAGCTGCCAAAGGTTTAGAGCGACCTGCATGTTCTCCTCTGGTGGCTGCAGGTTAAGCAGAAGATGCTGTACGCTGCCACCCGGGCCACAGTGAAGAAAGAGTTTGGTGGAGGCCACGTGAAGTACGAGATGTTTGGCACGGCTGAGGTCAAAACCGTTTCAGTTCATTACACCTCACTAATGTCCATTCTGCCCTGATGACGTGTTTCAGTGTCTGGTGCCTCCTGTAAAGCGCCTCTCGCTCTGCTTACAACACTAGGAGGACATCTGCTTGCTGGGCTACCAGCGCCATGTGTCGTCCTGCTCAGGTCCTGCCCCGCTCACACTCGCTGAGCAAGAGCTGCAAAGGATCAAGATCTCTGAGGTGAGAGGTCAGCATGCCCTCAGCGCTGCCGTCGTCATCGCACATAGCTCTGCATATGAGCTCCATCCTGTTTTTAAACTGGTCTGCTGGTGTCTTTATTTAACCTGTGGTGGGAGGAATCTAACGTTTTTGTGTGATTTCCTTTTCAGGGCCGCGTTAAACAGGTACGTTCATAAACGATCGCTGTGTGCATCCGATATGAACTCACAGGGTTAAAGGGTAATAAGTGGTCATTATTTCAGGCACATGACACTGCAGAAAGTATAAAGCTTTTCTATACAGTTCAACATTTTGAGGATTTCCTTTGGCAGTTTGAAAACACATGCATGTCTGCTTGCTGCCCCCTGCAGGTGAAGGCAGAGATCAGTGTTGACACGAAGCACCAGACGCTCCAGGGCCTGGCCTTCCCTCTGCAGGAGACGGCCAGGAGAGCTCTACAGCAGCTGGCCCAAAAACGCATCAACTACATACAGCTGGTGAGCCCAAGGAGCTGAGATGATCAGAACAGGGTCGCTCCGAGACGTGACCAGAGGCTTCAGGCTTTACTAACAGCGTCAGGATCACTGTGTTTATATGATCTGGGATGGTTTCCTAAAGAAGTTGTTTTAATAAAAGCAAGTCTACAAAATCAATCCAAGGCCCGCTGGAGGATATGTGCAAGAATAAAACGTCCATAACAATAGCATCAGGAGCAGTTTGGTGTCCGTATATAATCTATCATGCCATATCTGTACATGTGAAAGGTGCACAGAGCTTCATTATAGCTTTATCTTTAAACTCATGCACTTTAGTATTTCATGCATCTTCCTCATTTACATCTAGGTGCTGTCCTGGTGCAGGATCAATAAAGTTGATCTAATCTTCATCCGTTCATGTATTCATTTTGTTTCAGAGGCTGGATGTGGAGAAGGAAACGATCGAGCTGGTTCACGCTAATCCAACAGAAACCCGAGATTTGCCCCGCAGAGTTCCCAAAGACACTCCCAGATACCACTTCTTCCTCTACAAACACTCCCACGAAGGAGACTACCTGGAATCTGTCGGTACGATGCTGATCCTCCAAGTGTGATAATCCTCCTGTTTGTCCGAGATGCATTCAGAGCTCTGAGGAACTGGACCACAGACTCGCAGAGATAATTCTGGATCGTCTGCGTAACTGGTTCCCAACTGGTTGCACAATAACTCCTCAATGTTAAGCAACAGCTTTTTGTAATTTCACATCACAGGAAACGTGGTTGATCAATGTTGTTTTCCTTCTTTTAAAGAATGTGTAAATATGAAGAAAAGCTAATTTTATAGATATAGATTACTCTGATTACCTCATGTTTTTCATCCTTTCCTCCAGTGTTCATATACTCCATGCCCGGGTACAGCTGCAGCATTAAGGAGCGAATGCTGTATTCCAGCTGCAAGAGTCGACTACTGGAGGAAGTGGAGAAAGATTACCATTTGGAAATCGCTAAAAAGGTACCAGATGGACGGATGGGGGGATGTTGGGACAGAATATTAGATAACTCGGCTTCATACAGAGTCCCAGCTCCTGCTGAGGACACCGAACGCCATGTTTTGTGTATTTTCAGTAAAAAAGATTCAGTCATACTACCGGCAGCGTGGGGAGGCTTTGGCACAGAATCAACGATATGATTTACAGGAACTATAACTGAACAAATGTGAGGGTGGACATGTGATGACATGACTTGGGCTCGTGACCTCAGGCCTCTGAAATCCTGGTTACAGTCCTGCTGAAAGTTACGCAACCCCAAGCTGACTAATAAATGCCAAAGTTATTTATGTCATTTCTCTTTAATGGATTTCGGGGGAATCGTCTGAACACACTGCGTCCACCTGTGTGATTGTTTTCTCCTCTTTTTTTTTTGTTTCATTTGCATCTAGTTGGAGATCGACGACGGAGACGAGCTGACAGAAGACTTTCTGTACGACGAGGTCCATCCCAAGCAACACGCCCACAAACAGGCCTTTGCGAAGCCCCGGGGCCCTGCAGGAAAACGGGGGCACAAGCGCCTGATTAAGGGGACGGGAGAGGCTGTACAGGACAGCTAGAGGTGGACAGTTGTGTCTGCAGCTTCTGGCCTTCCTCCCCATTTCTCCGACGCCACGACCGCCTCGTTAGGCCCGGAGGAACCAGCACAGCGAGGGCTTTCCTCTGCTGTTTGTGACACTTGTGATATTTAACAAATGTGTTGATAAATTCTCTTCAGTCTGTCTCTCTTGGTGAGGTTTGGGCAACGTTTTTGTTGGGCAACAAATCAGGCAAATAAATATAAAGGAATCAGGCCGAAGCACAGACAGACGGCCTCGTTATTGTTCTAAAGAGAATCTGTTCCTCCGCTGTGTAAAATAAATCTGCAGTTTACAAGATAATCGACCGGTACTGAACTGTAACGTCCCAGACAGCTGCTTCAGGCCTCACATCCAGCCTGCAGCACAGGTTTTGTATCAACAGTGTTTGTAATAAAAAAGAAAAAAACAATATCAAAGGAAATTCCAAATAAAATTGTGTTTCTACTGTGGACTGGATCTTCTGGGTCATTCAGCACACAGTGATGGATCCATGTGGAGATGCTCTTATACGTGCCACATGTGTAGGCTGCTGACATAGACGAGAGATTATTAAATTAAATCCCCCCTTAAAGAGGCATTAAACCAGAGCCACAGCTGTTCATTGAGACATCTATCCCACAACAGCATCCGCAAGAATCTCTCGCAGTAAATTTCCAGCATTTGAAAGTCGTCACTGTTTTGAATTAACTCCATAAAACTCCATAAAAATCAATTCAGCTGGAGATCTGGCCCGAGCGCTCTGACTGCGTCGTACAAATCTGCAGCCCTGGCACCTCGCAGGGATTCCTGGTGCTGAGAGTGAATTCTGCGATGTGCTCTTTTTAAGACAGAACAACTGGAATCCGTTTCAAGCTTCAGCGAGTTTCCTCGGCCGGAGGATCAGCTTGCATGGATGCTGTGAACTTTCTCTCTCGGCAATCCTCGTGTGCTGCGTCTTCCACATGCCGAAGCACAAGTCTCACAACAAACCGGATTACAAACCTCAGGTTGAGTTTCAGTCGTGAGTCAGACACGGCGCTGGAGGTTTGCTCCGTCGTCGTCGGTTTGTTTGGTCGGTCGTGGTTGTCCAAGAAAATGTGTGCTGATTAGAGGTGAAGGGTTTTTTTTATGATGGATGTTGACAAGTTGTAATTGGACAGAATAATCTACGGTCATGGAAGGCCAAAAATAAACTAATAACAGCTGACAGGTAATCGGTCATGAAGCAAATTTAAATTTGACCGGATTATGGTGCTAAAGGAAGAACCAGGATCATCTAATGAAACCGGTTCCATTTCAGTCCAGTCATTTTTTAAGACATTTCACTGTCAACCTCGTGGTGGCGCTAGAGACAAAGATCCAGCAGTTGTTAAGGTATTTCAGCAACCAATGACGGAGCTCCATCAGACCCACACGGTGGCTAATTAGTTAGCACCGTTAGCTCAGCAAGAAGGTCCTGTGTTGAACCCGAGCCAACACCAGAGCCTTTGTGTGGAGCGGTTGTTCTGAGAGCTCCAGTTAATCCCAGAAAGAATAAAAGTTTAATTCTCCAAAGTGCCCTTCAGCAAGGCACTGGCACAGAGCTGGACCTGGTTCCCAGTGTCTGAACACGGAGGACGGGTTGAATGCTGAGAATTAATTCCCCCACAGGATCATCACAGATCGCCAACATTACGCCCTTCAGCTGTATATTTTTGGGGCTTCTTGCCTTTATTTAGAGCAGCAGAGACAGACGGGAAAGAGGGAGAGACCTGCAGCAGAGGGTCATGAGTGGGAGTCGAACCCACGACCACTGCGTTGGCTAACTACAGCTAACTACAGCTAACTATAGCCCTGTCCATGGGTGGCCCACTCAGCTAGGTGATCTGTAGGGACGCCCATCACACATACGGTTTGATCTGAACACTAAACACTGCATTTCCATCCTCATGCACCACCACATTCATCTGCAAAAAAAAAAACCCACACAATACTGAGAATACAGAGAAAGCATTTTGCAGATTTTGCCAATTAAAGCAGCTAATCAGCTAATTGAAATCGACAAACAGTTCCTGCATTCAGGAGCAGCTCCTCCAGGCCTCGGCACACGAGCACGAGCTTCTCTCCAAACTGACAAATTTATGTCACTGATTCCAGGCATTCAAAGTTTTTCTCAGAATCTTCTTCAAATACTCTCCTTTTTTTTTTCCACAATGGAGGAGAACAACCATTATTCAGCGTGTCCCAGACGTCACCCTAATTCCTAGTAAGTTCTCAGTATGCGGCTCATTCACACAGGAAAAGTTTGTATATGTGACACGCTGGTGAGCAGCGGTCGGCGCTGATTTGTGGAGTGGTTGCTGACAAGCGAGGTTGTCCTGAAATGTAACGTAGAGTGGAAATGAATCAGTCGCAGCTGGAAGTGGAGAGAGACGGCTTTGGGAAGACACTGGAATACAAAAAACAAAATCTTAAATCTGCCAAGAATATTTTATTTCAAAGGCGGCATTGTTCCACAGCTGAAGCCTGATAGATGTTATGGTGCAGCTGATGCAGAGCAAACATGAGCCAGAGAATGGCAGCGGTCTGGTCAAACGCAGCCAACTGGTAATTCATTATAGTCCATAGATAATAATGAGTTTAATCAGCTGTACCTCTGCATTAACCTGGTCTGCAAAGACACTCCGGCCTTCCTGGTGTCTGACAGCGTTTCTGTGTTGAAACCCAACATGTGGAGCCATCTGGCCTCACGTGGAGAGAAAGCACACAGCAACTTTCTAATCTCATTACCAAGACTGGAAAAAGCACAATCACCCGAATTTACTGGAGTGTTCGGAGTACGAGGAGACAAACGAGATAAAAGGGCTGCAGCTTCTTTTTAATTTATGATTTGCGTGCACTAATCACAAAACGAACGTCGGTATGACGACAATCAGTTCATCTCATGACCGCCCGTGTCCGCACAGCTTAACGCGTTAATGATGCAAATTCAGCGGCGGGTTGGAACTCTGGAAGTACTGAACAGGACCGGCCTGCACACTCGGGTCCAACACGTGTGTTTTATAATAAAACTAGACGTTCAACAGGGAAAATAGTATAACAGGGTACAGTTTTAGTCCTCAAGTCAAACTAGAGCTAAAAATGTGAGTCATGAATGATAATAAAGGAATTTTAAAGCAGAAACGTGTAAATCTGCAGGTTTGTTTAGTCTGACATGACAGAGAAGTGAATCTGTTTGGATTTACTCTCAAGGCTTTTTAATCTGGCACTTTGGGCTCTGAGAACATGTCATGTACATTCTGAGAAATTAATCCACAAATTAAGAAAATAACTGCAGAACAACCAGTTTGCACCAAAGAGGCCCTACATGTGTGTGTTTAATTCTGCTGAGCTGCAATAAAAACCTGGAGGGTAAACGCTCCTTTTCTTCTTCAAATTCTGAGTAAACTATTATCTGAAAACCTCCGTCAGACCCTGAACCAGATGGATGATCCTGAACGTGTGTCTGCTCACATTAGGCCGTCCAGGAACGGTACAAACTCCAGACGGCCGCTGTTCCAATATCTCGTTCACAAACTGCTTCATAAGGAATCCAAACTGTTTAAGCAGAGTTCCTCCGGTGCCACATGTGATCCCTGTGAACTGCCTGCTTGTGCTGGTGGTTTCTTTTACGGCACTAATTATACTCCTTCAGGATTTCTGGACGCAGCATCAACAATAAGGCACAATTTCATAGCAATAATTGTGATGCTCCGTTTTCTTCATGAGCCAAAAAAAACATATTTGTCCGACCGCATCCAGCAGGGATAGATAAAGTCCACAAGACTTCTTAGAAAAAAGCTCATTTCAGGATTTCTTGGAAAAAGCTGAGCTTGGGCCTGGGATCAGCAGGCTCCCGTGAATGTGGCTGTGATTATGATGCAGCATATTTTAGGTATTGCTTTGTTTCCAATCTTCCACATGTGTGTGAGAGAGATTGTTGCTGCTGGAAGAAATATTTTTTGAAACCTTTTGGCCTGAACTGAACAGATTTACAACAACATCCAGCACCAGGCCTCAGTGGGCCTGATGTGGGTAAACTAGAGAAGATATCACTGTGTGTGTGTGCAGCCCGAGGCCCGATCTCCCAGATAGAATCCCTAGAAAACAAATGTCAGGAGAGATAAAAAGAAATAAACAAGCAGAAAGACGAGTTTCGGTACCGAGCCGCCCAGAATCAGACGATCAGAACCGCAGCAGACCAGCCGGAGAAGAGAAAAGAGAGGCTCAGAAAGTGGCACAAAGTGTGAGCGAAGCCACGTTTTTCTCCGGCCTAACCTTTTCTTTTGTAGGTGATTGTCGCCATAACAAGTTGTTTTTTTCTGCAGCTTAATTACTCCAAAGCTCTGAGAAAACCTCTCGCCGTGTTTTTCCACCCGGATCGAGGGAAATCTATATTACTGGAAATAGCCTGTGTGCATTCCTATTATCTTTAATGTCGAGGCGGTGAATTCCCAGAATGAAGGCTCTGTCAGGGCCGCCCGGCGGGGCGGAGTCAAGCCCTGCAATTATTCCTGGAAAGCGGATAGGCAGAAGCTGCCGCGCGGTTCCTGGGAGCGAGCGCCGCTTCAGCGAAGGCGGCCGCCGCGGGGTGAGACGGAGGGGGACACGCGCACCGCCGAAACCCGGGAAAACGTCCGGTCCCGGCGCGGTTATCCCGAGAACCAGCCGCGACAAAAACAAAGCGCCTTGCTGCCACGAGCGCCGCTAAAAACGGAGCCGCGAGCCGCCGGGACGCGCGCGGAGCGGCGGCGGCGGCGCGCGGCGGCCGGTGCGGAATGGGAGTTGGTGCGGCCGGTGTGACGTCAGAGCCGCCGGTGCTGTGAAGAGTTCTCAGAATAGACTTCTAGGAAACGGTAAATTTTAAAAGCCAAGCCTTTACACTCTGTCCTTCACACATTTGGGTCCCGTTCTGGCGACAACACACTCCGGCGGATCTGGAGCGGTTCGGAGAGGAAAGGACGGTTTAAAAAAGAAAGAAAGAAAGAACAAATCCAGTGTTCTGTTAGAAAGTACAGCAGCAGAACCGACGGCTCGGGGACACGGAGCTCTTGGTGGAGACTCGGTCTGTTCGTGTCTAGCCCGTGTTCCGGCTCGCTTCTTTGGGTCAAGGTGTTTTTCCCTCAGACGAAGCTCCGGTCCTGCATGTTCTGGGTGTTTTCAGCGGAGGAAACCCGACCGGATTTTAAGCCCAGAGGATTAAAGAAGTAGCATGATTCTTTGTGTACCGGGGTGAGTGGACTCTCTTTGTGTCGGAACATCTCAAACCCAGAAGCTTTTAATCAGAGTAAAGAAGTTGTGCGTAAAAGTTGTGGAGTTATTCTCCTTAACGTAGCCGTCAGGCCTCAGAGTAACTCATCTAAAGAGAAATACTCATTAGAATAATGACGAGCAGCTCGTTAGTGGCTCTGAAGCAGCGTTTTGACTCGTTCAGGAAAAGTCTGCTTCACATGTGTCAGCAGCAGAGACAATGAGTTCCAGACAAACAGCAGAAAACAGGCAGAAATCCCAATTAAACACAAACAGGCTTATAAAACATGAACACACACACACACACACACACACACACACACACACACACACACACTGGGCCACAAATATCTGATTCCTGGACAGAATTTGGAAGCTGGAGGCCTGCTCTAATCGTTCCTTGTGCTGTGCTTGTTGACGCCCATTAACTCGTATTTTCCATCTCCTTTCCAGTCCCAGAGCTCTTCTGCCCGCTGCTCCGTCCACTGAAGCCCCGCGGGGCATGCGGGCAGGAACAGTGCCTCCTACCCCCTGCCTACAGAGCACCCCTCCGCTATGGGACCCCACAAAGGACCTCCGGGCGATCGCCAGCAACTTCTGCTACCTAGAAAACTCAGGTACGGTGTGGAGAGGGCTTCACGTGTCCACCCACTGACTCCAACACATAAGATTCCTGAAAAGCTGCCTGGTGTGTGAGAGATTTGGTTAAATGACGTGTTTGTCTGCTGCTAAACATTAAGCCAGAGGCAGGACAGTGGCAGGACGGCATGTACTGTTCACAGTGACTAACGCTGAGGAATCTGTGTGCAGGATGGTACTGGGGCGCTGTGACGGCGGCTCAGGCCCACGCTGCGCTGCAGGAGGCGTCTGAAGGAGCCTTCCTGGTACGGGACAGCAGCCACCCTCTGTACATGCTGACCCTCTCGGTCAGGACGGCACGAGGTCCCACCAGCATACGGATCCAGTACAGCGGCGCCCAGTTCCTGCTGGACTCCAGCTCCCCGGCCAGACCCAGCCTGTCGTCCTTCCCCAACGTGCCCAGCCTGGTGCAGCACTACATGGGCCCGGAGAGGAAGGCAGAGGAGGGGAAGGTGGAGCAGGAGGCTCCGACCAAGCCCTCCCAGCAGACTGTTCAGGAGACGTCGGTGGTACTGAAGCTGAAGCGGGCCGTCTACAAGCCCCAGAGCCTCCCTCCTCTGCAGCACCTCACACGGCTTGTCATCAACAGGCACACCGACTGCCCTGACCAGCTACCACTCCCGAGGCCGCTGCTGCGCTACCTACAGGACTACCCCTTCAAAGTATGAGTCCGGTATCGCGGCTCAGTGTTCCCCGAAGGAGGAGAAAAACTGTCAACAGGTCCTTTGTGCCTGTTCAGAACAGAGCTGCCCCGGCAGTCGGAGGCCAGTCACAGACATACTGGACACAGGGTCATGTTGTTGCTGACAAAAAAAATGTACAAATTCAGTTTCTACTGACGTGTCTGGTTCCAGACTTAATCTGTCGAGGACTGTGCGGCGAAGCACCCCAGAAAGAGACGAGTCGTGAGACAAACGCAGTACTGTAACCTCCGCTTATTTCATGATGGATGTGGAAACTGTCCATGTCTGTTTTAGCCTCATCAGTTCTGGATGTACATACTGTTCCTAAGAAGTACACTGATTCCTTTGAGACATCTTTTACGCCATTTTATTTTTCTCAGTAAAGCATTTTTTGTACCTTTTACATGTGTACATGTTTCTATTAAAAACCAAGCCGACTGGAACCCGAGCTGCTCTTCTTTATATCCCATTTTGCCTTAAATGTTTTTTACAGGGTCAAAGAGGAGCGCTGTCACGTCACCGTCAACCACATGACGGCTGCTCTTGTGACACTTGTTACGAAATCTGTTTTTTTTTTTTTTTTTGTGCCTTAGATCACCTTTAAAACACAAAGAGCGTGGTGTGGCCTTTGAGCTGGAAGCGTGCGAGAGTCGGCGATTGTGTGAGGAAGTAACGGCCGCATCGTGTGCGCTTTTGCTCAACAATGCACACCGCCTGCATCTGAGTCAGCGAGTGGACAAGCGAAGGGGAGGACCATTCATCAGCGGATTCACAGAACTACTGAACGCTTCCTGGGAGGAGGGTGAGATTCTGAGAGGGAGGGTTCTAAGAAAAGCTGCGGTAATTACCTTCAGCTTTGAGCCTGCTTTTGTGCCACACACTTTTTATTGTGACGCCGGGCTGCCATCACGACCGCCGCCAGATTAAGAGCGCGGCGGTGACACGATTTTGTTTGGTGCAAATTGTGAATTTTGAGCGATCAGATGAGATCAGGGTGAGGCCCGGTGGCTCTGTGGGGGCAGGGGGGAGCCGGGGCTGAGGCGACCTGAGCTAAAGCCAGCGTAATAGGATCTCAGTTTCTCAGGCCAGATCCAGCTTGTGGTCCCGTCTCTGCCGTTGCTTTCTGGAGGATGCAGAATCGTGGCCTAAGAAGCAAAATAACAAAAATAATAATTGATGTTGAATCTCAAGAAACTCAAAAGAAAGGTGTGAAGAAGGCGATTCTTTTTTATTTTAATGATGACATCAGCATTAAGTCACTATAAAATAATTTAACGGGAGGTTTTCTCCACAGACCTGCCGGTGATGTCGAGTCGTGTCTCCACATACTGCAGCTCCTCCACATTCACCTCCACCCACCGTCGAATGAGCGGCGGGTGTCTGGGGTCCACCTCCATGTACACACGGCTGGAAAAAAAAAAAAACACAAAATAGATTAAAATTTAATTACCAGCAGGACAGGATTATCGCCCTGAGATGACAGCCGTGGCATATATCTGGAACTGTATTCGCTGGAAGTCTTCTGGAAAGCTTAACTCATTAAAGAGGCAACACGATACATGTGTTTTCCAGAACATGCTGTTCTTGTGACAAGCCGCCGCCGCCGCTGCCGTTAGGAATTAAACCCAGGTGGGTTCGTATGTATACGAGTGTGTGAGTGTGTGTTGAGCAACGGGGTTCCTCACCCGTGATCCGACAGAATCTGTGGAGCCAGAGTCAGGATGTGTTTGATGACGTTCAGGCCGTCTTCACCTCCGTCTAAAGCCGCGTGGTCTTCAAACCTGGAAGCAGCAGACGAAACCAGTGTCACTAAAACGCATTAGTACAGTCACATAATTCCACAAAATATCATTTATAAAAGAAAAATAAAAAATAAAATTAATACCACATTTTATTTTCAGAGGTTTTATGCAGTGGTTTGATTACCTTAAAACAAACTGCAAAATTAGTACCGACAAATAAACGCTTTGTTAAGAATCAATTTATAATTTTTTATTTCTTTATATTATCATTTTTAAACAAATAATAAAAGTGTTTATTTTGTTTTTTTAAACACCAATAAATAATCAAATTGCAGTAATTCCCTGTTTAATTATAATTTAGTTGGTGTGCAACCAGTCAGCTAAACAAAGAGAGCAAGCTAAAGTTAGCTTGTGAGATAGCCACGGCTAGCCCGGCTAGCTTGAGCTTATTACTTTCTGCTTTTTCTTGTAATTTACATGAACTGATATTGACAGTTGATAACTTACCATCTTAATAAATAAGATTATTGTGCCACATGAATAAAACAACCATTAAATCTGCTTGTAAAGAGTTCAGCTTTGCTAAATTAGCTAGCAGGAGCTAGCCTAGCTTAGCAGAGTCGGTCGAGCTAACTATAAATCACATGTACTACACATTAAGGTGATTTAGTTATGTTGTTGTTTTCAAGGTATTTATGAACAAATGGTTGAAGCTGAAGCAACACATTTTGGGTTGTTTTCTTCACATTCTCAGATTTTTTTGTCTTTTATTTTTGTTTTTATTTTTAACACAGGGCCAGAGTGCAGCTTCCTGGTCAATATGTTCTATTTCAGTCTGGTTCAGTCAACCCAGTGTCTCAGTAACTACAAGTCCATCTGCAGAACTTCTTCTGTAAAGCACAAGTGGAACAATAATGACATGTATGAGTTATCATGAATTATCCTCGACTGATTTGAAGCCACCTTTGAATAAACCATTAATTTAATTCTTTACAACATGCTGTAAATCTGGTTCACATGTATTCTCTTTATCTACTGTATCATGAAAGCTACGGTGCTATCGGTACCAGGCACAGATCCCTAATTAGAGGAGTTACTATCATGATTAAACACTTTTAATCTGCATTATTAGGACGTGTTATAACTGCCTATAAATTAAGGAGGGCTGAATGTATTTTAGTCACCTGGAAACTTCTGGTTCCAGCGACGCCATGTCCTCTGAAAACAGGTACGGAGGGTTACTGACCAGCAGGGAAACCGGACCGCAGAGGCTCAGCACCGCTTCTGGATCTGACAAAACACACACCAAACATTTTATTAGCAACGTGCTTTAGGGGTAAAAATACAGCCTGTGCACAGAATCCCCCACCTGTCATCACGTCCACATGATGGATCTGTAACCGGTCCTGAAGCCTCAACCTGCACAGAGACATCCATCATGTATTAATATACAGCCTGATTTAAATAACATTATATATAGTCAGTAGTCAAGGACGTTTATAACGTGGTTTTCTTGTGCTCTGGTTCAGTCACCTTAATGCATTTTCTGTAGTTAAATCCACAGCAGCCTGGCTCTGGTCCAAGGCGACGGCTTTAAGCTGCAAACCAGAAACAAACACGGCAATTAAAAAAACCTGCACTTCACTGTTTGGACACGACCGCCTCAGGCAGAATGTCTACGCATCGGTTTGTATGTGTTTAACAGCAAATTCAGACATTTTTACTACTTTAGCATCAGAGACTGGAAGACAGAGACAAACAGGACGACAGCGTAATGAAACTATGACCAGAGTGTTTGTATCAGCGGAGGATAAGTGTGATGTTTGCCAACACTTTACTAGAAAGCCGTCTCACGGAGCCGTGTGTCCGCTGAACAAACATAACTCATGATTTCTGTCATTGTTATTATTAATAATTATTATCATTATTAGCCTGGAGATGTATTTCTTCCACTAAGCAAAAAATAGTTTATTCTTTAAAATGTCAAAGTCAACACATGGATGTCACAAGATAGCAATAAGGACAAAAAGAGTCCATCCAATATAAAACACTGTGTTCAATGTGGAGGAGACCAACATGTTTGAAACGGTGCCAGCTGGTCATAAACATCTCTGCACTTATCAATTTATAAAAACATCTGTACTGTGTAAAACCTGATAAACGTGTCACCAGTTGGGCAGAGTGCAGACGACAACTTGGAAATTGAGTTTTTAGTGAGAACAAAGTGAGTTTAGCAAAATCCTGCAGCTCCTAGTCTCTGCCTGAGGCTACATTAGCTGCTCTGGTTTCAGCAGGTTTCCCACGTTTGTAGGGATTAAAGCTTTTTTTATTTTAAATTAGCCAATATGTAATTTGTATATATTACTGTAGGTCCTTGAACTTAACATGTCAGTTAGTCGGGTAGATTTGTACAATAAAACTGTACAGTCTAAACTAGAGATGGAGGATATATCAGCGACCACATCGGTATCGGCCGATATCAGTGTTTTTTTCCCAGATATCGGTATCAGTCCGATGAACAAATTCAGCCGATGATTGTCCAACATTAGTCGTCTCTACGTTTGATATCGCTGCTGTTTCACAGATGTTTTTACTTAAATGGTCCTTTAATGTTAAATATGTTAAAATATGTTAGACTTTTGTAATAAAGCAGACTATGTGGTCTAATCTGGGCTTCTTCTGAATAGTTTTCTCACAGCGCTCACTGATACTCATTTTACAGTGTGAACAAAAACTGAACATCGACATCGGTGATATCGGTTATCGGCGATATCAGACATCTTAATATCAGATATCGGTATCGGCCAGAAATTTTAATATCGTGCATCACTACTCTAAGGTTTATATATATTTATATAAGAATAATGTCAACCTGACTACCAGCCAAACACACCAAACTAAACCAGCCATCAAGTTTTATTTGATCAGTCAAGAGTCTCAGTGCTGCCGCGCCTCTGACGAGCAAATACGATGAGTACGAGTGACAAGTTGATCATTATATGCCATCAGCTTTACAAACTGTTGGTGCTGGAGGACATATCAGGAGATCACAAGTTATCCTCTCATCCTGAGGGTACAAATGTCAGAGGCCACAGCTGTTCACCCAAAACCACCAATGTTCAGAACATTAAATTCAGAGGACAAACAAAGGACGTCTGTGTGAAGGTTTCAACAATCCGTCTGTTCGATGTTGAGTAATCTCACTGGATAAATACCCACTTTGATTTGTTGCTATAGGAGAAGTAAGCAGGACCTCAATGGGAACCATAATTGTATTTACAAAATGGCTTCATGGTGATCCGTCCACTGGCTGCTGAGATACTTCAACCAACATCTAGGTAGTGGAGTGACTGAATAAAAAACCACGTACCTGAGGCAGACTCTTGAGCAGACTAAGAGAAATGGCACCAGACCCACATCCCACCTCCAGGCATGTATGCTGAGCGTCTGCAGCCCCAGACTTCCTCTGCAGATCAGCGAGCACCAGTTCAACCAGCTCCTGCAAAAGCACACAGAGAAAACCCTTTATGAGTTATTATTTCTACGGTGCGTGTTTACAGCCTGTTTACGTCGTCTCCAACCTCAGTCTCAGGTCTGGGGATGAACACAGGAGGCCTCATCTTCAGCGTCAGCTCTCTGAAGTCCCACTCCTCGATCACGTACTGCACCGGCATCCTACAACAAACACCTTTAGATCATCCTCAGTAAAAATCACCTGAATGCTCTCAGATTTATGCAGTCACTTGCCTGGAGAGACGCCTTGTGCAGAGCTTCCACACCTGCTCGGTTTCTTCTCGGCTGAGAAACTCTGTTAAACGCTCCTGATCCAAACTTTGTATCTGGATAAAGAGATGCCACATGAATATTCTTCGGGTGCTGATACGTAGGATGAGTTCAGCAGATTTCAACTCACAGTTTTAGCTCTGAGCAGATGAGCAACGATGTACTGGCTGGACAGGTGGGGCTCCGTCACACCTCTCTCCTCAAAGTGCCTCCTCCACAGCTCCACCGCCTGCAGGGCTGTGATCCTGCCGGCAGGTAAGGCTGGAGCGCTGCAGGTACGCACAGCATGGGAGCTGCACATCCCCTAAAAGTATGTTAAAGACTCACTGAGCAGAGCCAAATCAGAAACTCTCCGTACAGTCTAACTGTAGTTTCAGCACTTGTGTATAAAAGGGGAATTCGTGCTGCCATTGACACACACTGTAGACAAGTTGTACAATTTCATTAATTATTCTGCTAATTGGAGGATTAAACCACATTAATATCAGATACTTACACAGTCCAGAAGTGTTTCTAATAATCTGACCCTCATGCACTGTGACTTACAACCAAGAAGATCTTTTTAATATTTTTGAAACTGACCAAATAACGGTGGCGGTGACTAAACTAAAAATGTAATAAATAATCACTTCATACCATAACATTTATATAATATAATATAATATAATAGAACATCAGCATCACTGGCTGATATTAACCAAATGGACAAAACTGACACATGGTCATAATTCACTTTTGCACAAACTGTTCTTATTCAGTGTAAATATTGTATATATTCTTTTCATTCAATAGTATGTTTGTCATCTTGTGTATATTCTTATTGTATTACTTATTGTTGTTATTTTCTTGTACTTTCTTTAAAGATTTTTGAATGCTGCTGTGGCGTGTACATTTCTCCCAATGGGATCAATAAAAATAATTCTATTCTATATAAACAAATAATTATATAACAATTATTATTATTCCTTCACATTTTTATTTTGCAGATAAACTCCAGGATTCAGACCGCCACTGGGTGTTTCAGAATGCACACATTTAGTCCAGTGTGTTCATAGTAGGGCTTCTCCAACAAGTAAGGATATAAATCAAGCAGAGAGGTGGTTATTATCACTTTATTTAAGTGCAGAATGTGCAATATGTTCATGCTGCTTATGAGTTTCTTCTTGGAATTATTTTATTTTGGAATATTATTACTTTATTTAACAGTCAAACCTTTTCCTGTGTGATTTAAAAGTGTAATAAATACATGATTTAGGTCATTTCTATCTTTAAGTTCTCATTCTTGAGATAGAATTTTAAGCAGTTAGAGTTTTGGTGGTGTCTCGTTGTGAAGATCCATCACATCTAATCCACAAAACATTCTTTGAGCTGAAGCTTTAAAGAAATTTATCACAAATCTGTTAGGAATAAACTGCAATTAGAGATTAATTTATACACCAACTCTAATGTAAAAGCACATGAACAGACTACTGCTAAATAAATAACCAGAGCATCATTTCATCTCACTTGTGCAGCACTTAGTGTTGTGAGTGTTTTAGCTTTTCCAATCAAATAAAGTTATTTTCTACCTATAAAACCGATGCCAGCTGTTATTGTTGTCATTTGTTCTTCACACTCAGCTCTTCATAACATTTAGCATCTCACAGCAGCTCCCTGAGACACTAACTGAACCAGCTACCTGTGGTCCTGGACTCCTGCAGCCCAAACACCTGCGTGCTGCCCTCAGCGACCTTCTCCACATGTCCAGCAGCAGCAGCGCTGCTCCTGCAGCTTCACGACGCAGCTCGTCCGCAGCGAAGCATCACGGTCCCGTAAACACACCTTCTGCGTCTCTTCTATCGACCTATATGGCATTTAAAAACCGTGTTCAGGAGTGGGACAGCACGCTAGCTCACCAGGCTGCCTCTGTTTCCTACACATGGCGCAGAAAACCCCCTCAAAGCTTCATTTCAACGCAAACATGCGGCAAAATCTGCGCAGTAGTGACTCTAATGAATCGTGTTGCGTTCACGTACTGTGGGAAATTATACGTTCTACACCATAGCACACAGAATGTACTACAGAATATGCGAGCAAAGGGAGACTAAGTACACAGTAAAGTGCAACTAGCAGTGGCAAATATAACACATTTAGCTTAAATAATATGCTGATGTAATATAGGTTAATGAAAACGTGATGGGCTGATGCTAAATTTTAGCTAACTTAGCCACCTCGAAGTAGGTTGAAGCTAACTTTTTCTTTGTGTTGTTCGGTCACAAAATGTTTAGATGTTAATTTCATCCACATTTCAACAGAATTTGTCTTATTTTTTTGTATTTTTTTTCTACCCTCGCCACCAGTTCGCTTGTCGCCTGATATGTGGACCCGTCCGTCCCGGGGGTCCGTGAAGGCAGCAGCAGCGTTGTTGTTCCTCGGCGTGTCGAGGCGGCGGATGGTCCGACAGCCGCCGGGACCGACACACTGGGCTCAGCTCATAAAAAGCCCGTTTATTAGGCCGTGGTTCAGCGTTAGAGCTGCTTAAATGTGTTTTAGAAGAAGCCGCTAGCTGCTGTTTCAGCGCTAGAGCCGGAAGCTAGCTGAGCAGCTGGAGGTAAACAGGAAACACAACAACACGCCGGGACCGTTTGGACACAGCTGGAGGAGATCAGCACGTTTCTGCACCTCTGAGGGAGTTTATCCTGCCAAAAAGAAAAGTCTACGATGGGCATGACCACCAGAATAGAGTGCATATTCTTCAGTGAGTTTCATCCAACTCTGGGCCCAAAGATCACCTACCAGGTGAGTGTGCAGGTGTTGAATGAGGTGAAGTGGATCTCAGCATCACAGCTGACAGTGTGGGTGGTTATAGGAGCTGCTGTTATCATGATTACCTTCATATTTATCCTCATTGTTAGGCTGTTTCTTTATGACTGAATATAAAAATCATGTATAATGTGACTCAGTATTGATGACTGATGGTTTTTAATGTCACATGTTAATCTGGACATATGTGGTCATACAGTGTCCCCATGTTGTCTCCTCCTGACAGGTCCCAGAGGAATACATTTCACGGGAGCTCTTTGACACGGTTCAGGTTTATATCATCACCAAGCCAGAACTACAGAACAAATTAATCACCGTGTACGTATTCTACATCTGTTCATGTGTCTCCTCACCATCATCCACCGTAGTGGTAGATCCATACCCCTGAGTCAGAGTAGTCAATAACCAAGGTGGAGCAGTGGTTAGCACCATCGCCTCGCAGCTTGAAGGTCGCCAGTTTGCATCCTGGTGAGGACACCCGAGTCTCCATGTTCTCCCTGTGCAGCATCCATCATCTCTACAACATAATCCTCACCAGGGTCATGGGGGGCGGAGTCTATCCCAGCTGACTCACGGTGAAGGCAGGTTCACCTGGACAGGTAACCAGTCTATCACAGGGCTACACTTAGAGACAGACAACCAAGCACACTCACATTCACACCTACGGACAATTTACAATCACCAATTAACCTCAACATGTTTCTGGACTGTGGGAGGAAGCCGGAGAACCCGGAGAGAACCCACGCTGCACGGGGAGAACATGGAGACTCCACGCAGAAAGATCCTCACTGAACTGGCGACCTTCTAACTGTGAGGCCACGGTGCTAACCACTGAACCACCTGCAGCACCACAACTTTCCATGAATTTGTTTTATAGTTGTAAAAATGCTCAATATTGGATCCAGTAATCAGACTGATCGGTCGACCTTTAACCCGCTGCATTGTTTTCATTCGTTCATGTTTTCCTGGTTTGTTGCTTTAATCTCTCTTCTTTATTATTCCTGTTGTAGCACTGCGATGGGAAAAAAGCTGATCGGCTGCCCTGTGTGCATCGAGCATAAGAAGTACAGCCGGAACGCCCTCCTCTTCAACCTCGGCCTCGTTTGCGACGCCCAGACCAACACGTGTGCCCTCGAGCCGATCGTCAAGAAGCTGTCTGGATACCTCACGACTCTGGAGGTACAGAGCGATGTAGCATCTGTACGGGATCGCTGTGATGATGTTGTCTCCAGTGAGACATCCTGGACATGATCTGGTTCTGCTTTGTTGTTTTGCAGCTGGAGAGTGGATTTATCTCTAATGAGGAGAGCAAGCAGAAGCTGTTACCCATCATGTCCACCCTGTTAGAGGAACTTAACGCCACAGGAGCCTGCACGTTACCCATAGGTACTGTTCAGTGTTTCACACTGTATATTACAGTTTGTTTTCTGGCAAACAACCATCAGTTTCTGTCACGTACTTGCTGAAGGTTCAGTGGAATGCAGATTTATGTGTCCATGTGTTATTCATTACACAAGCAGCCGCCCTGATTTATTGACTGTAAAAGTGTTGAAATAGTTTAGAAAATGTCTTGTTCACCTCCTTATTTTGTTCCAACCTGTTTTGAAAACACTGATGCAGCCTGAAACCAAAACGGGTCTCAGAGTTAATCTGGTAACTGCTCAGATTGATTAATAGATATAAAGCAGCTTAAACAGCTTTGTGGAGTCTGTGCTGTGAACAAAGAAGACATTCAAACTGGCAAAGCACATTTATTAAAGTTACACATTTAGAGATGGCAGGTTGTGGTTTATAAGTGAAAGTTAGTTTTACTAGCAGTATACGTCAGGGCAGGCTTGAGCTTCTAATGACTCCTGTAGCTTTGAATTTTCTATGATTGAATCATCGAAGGGCTGCATCGTGGTTCAGTGGTTAGCACCGTCGCCTCACAGCTAGAAGGTCATCGGTTGGCGTCCCGGTGAGGACACCCGGGATCTTCCTGCGTGGAGTCTCCATGTTCTGCTCGTGCAGCGTGGGTTCTCTCCGGGTTCTCCGGCTTCCTCCCACAGTCCAGAAACATGCTGAGGTTAATTGGTGATTGTAAATTGTCCGTAGGTGTGAATGTGAGTGTGCTTGGTTGTCTGTCTCTAAGTGTAGCCCTGTGATAGACTGGTTACCTGTCCAGGTGAACCTGCCTTCACCCTGAGTCAGTTGGGATAGACTCCAGCCCCCATGACCCTGGTGAGGATGAAGGTGTAGAGATGATGGATGGATGGATTTTGGTTCTTTCATAGATTAATTATAGGTCTCCTGGACATATGACAACATCTGCTGGGTCATAAATATACACACAGCAATGGAAATATGTAGTTAAATGTCTTTTGGCCATTTTCACCTCAGCTAGGTGCTTTTGGTCACCATCTACCAGCTTCTGGCAAACTTCTGGTTGAATCTTTGACCACCCCTCGTGGCAGATTTGGTTCAGTTCAACTAAATTTCTTGGCTTTCTGACACAGACTTGTTTCTTCAGCCCAGCTTCTTGACGGGGTCAGACCTTTGGGGGGAAAGTCTAAAACCTTCTGGCTGGTGACTTTAGGTTTTCCTGAAGAATGTGGAGATAATCCTCCATCTCCATCATTCCATTTACTTTAAATCACCAGCTCCACCAGCACCAGTCGATGAAAGAGCCAAACTGCGTGATGTTTATTGTGACAAAGACACGTGTGTTGGTGATTCCATCGTAGAAAATTCAATTGCAAGTTCTAGGAGTCATAGAAAACTCTATTATTATATAAATTACACAGGTCTTTTGCTTTTTTTAATGCTATAACTAACTGTAGTGTGGATATGTTGCTAATTGGATGTTTTATTTATATGTACAGACTGACTTTTGTTTCACAGCTTCAATAAAAACATCTCAACATATAATTTCATGTATTGTACGTCATATTTCAGTTATATCTGCATTAATATCAAAACCCAGCAGGTATGAAATCAGTAATAAACATAAAGTAGAATTAGTACCTTTTTTTTTTACAACAAAACTAAAAATGTAGAAGTTGGAGTAGAATGTATGGCAGAGCTGTCGTATTCAAAGTATTCCTAAAGTTGTCTCTCTTTCTCTGTCTGTCCTAGACGAGTCCAACACCATCCACCTGAAGCTGATCCAGCTGCGTAAGGATCCTCCGATAGTCCAGGAGTACGACGTGCCCGTCTTCACCCAGTGCAAAGAGCATTTTATCAAATCCCAGTGGGACCTGACCACTCAACAGGTAGAGCTTCGCTATCAGCGACCAGCGGCTGCTGATAACCAGCGACACTGAGATAAGACGTACCCAAATTCTAAGAACAGTGATTAAATACGAGTTATTAGTTGCAGTAATAGACCCACGGCGTTTACATGTGGTGTTGTATGAATGGGAAGGAGGCAGTGGTGTTATAATGAGTTGCTGCTCTAATACGTTAACAAGTTTGTTGTGGTGCTTATTAATCCAGTAATCGTGCAGCTTAGCCTTTAACCTCCTCCTGTGTGTTGCTCACTGCAGATCCTGCCCTACATCGATGGATTTAGACACATCCAGAAAATCTCCGCTGAGGCAGACGTGGAGCTGAACCTGGTTCGTATTGCGGTGCAGAATCTGCTGTAAGTACATTCCAGCACAAAGATGAGCCGTCGGCAGCAGCTCGGTGGGAATAAGCCTCTTTCCTGTTTCTGTCAATGATGTGCAACAAAAAGAGCTGAACTCAAATCTCCTTTCCTTCCACAGGTACTACGGTGTGGTGACTCTGGTGTCCATATTCCAGGTACTAAACACTCGACCTACAACACACTGGACAGTGTTTCTCTTCAGCTGTGCATCTGTAGTGTGGTGGAACCATTAATGAGTTTTAGGGCCGTTGTTAGAGAAAACATTAACTTAACCGGCTGATCCCTGATCAGCTGTTTGGCTCGATGAGGGGTTTTTTTTCTTTTTTTTGGTTGCAATGTAAATTTCTGCACCTTTATAGAAACAACAGAACCGTGGTAAGAAGTAGAGACCAAAAAAAGTGTAGTTTTTTTAATAATTAGTTTACAAAAATTTAAAAAAAGCTAGAATCAACAATATTGTTCCAAGTGCTGACAACGGTTACCAGTACTGGAGGTTGTGTTGATGGCTGTACATCCAATAGATGTTTTTCTACGTCCGTTTTTAATTAGTTTCCATATGCACCTACTCTCTGTGGTTACACAGTGGTTTTCATTAATTGTCATTATTCCTAATTTTGGGGCTGAGCTCTGAACCCGCCGGCAGGTTTTAGGGTTGAGTCAGAATGTTTTAAGAGAAAATTAGAGAAAATTAAGTTCCAGCTTTATTGTGAAAACATCCACCCACACATCCGCTTAATCCTCACTAGGGTTGGAGTCTATCCCAGCTGGCTCAGGGTGAAGGCAGGGGACACCTGGACAGGTAACCAGTCTATCACAGGGCTACACTTAGAGACAGAACCACCGAGCCACCTGCAGCCCAACATGAAAACTTAATTCATACTTTTGTTTTGTAAAATTTAGATTATTCTGCTGTTTCCCCCCGACAGTGGCGACTACTTTGTGGTGACTGCTTGTTTTGTGCCTGTTTGTCCTCCCCCAGTACTCCAACGTGTACTGCACCACCCCCAGAGTCCAGAGCCTCATAGACGACAAGTCCATTCAGGAGGAGTGCCTCGGCTACGTCACCAAGCAGGGTGAGTACGGGCCGGGACTCGTAGACAACATGTTACCTCACCTTCGTTTTATGATGCATCGTTGTTTCCTGTCGCTATCAGGTCAGAAGCGTGCCAGCCTCAGAGACGTGTTCCAGCTGTACTGTGGTCTGAGTCCAGGAACCACAGTCCGAGACCTTTGCTCCCGCTACTCGCAGCAGCTCCAGAGGGTTGACGAGAGGTCAGCGTCGCTCGTCTTATCAGCCAGAGGACGTAGTGAAGCCAGGTCATGTGTAATGTCATGTGTTTGTGTTCAGGAGGCTGATCCAGTTCGGGCTGATGAAGTCTCTCATCCGGCGGCTGCAGAAGTATCCCGTGAAGGTGATCCGCGACGAGAGGAGCCGGCCGCCTCGACTCTACACCGGCTGTCACAGCTACGATGAGATCTGCTGCAAGACAGGCAGGTTCTAAAGCTCTCTGTGATGGTTCGATGTAACCGGTAGTGGAAGTCTTCTTACCGTGTCCTCGTTCAACAGGGATCAGCTACCAGGAGCTGGATGAACGTCTGGAGAACGATCCCAACATCATCGTGTGCTGGAAGTGACACGACTGAGAGACACGGAGACGCCTGAACCAAAGATGCCTTCAGTGAAGACGTTTACTGGAATAGCAGTAACAACGACAGTGGACTCGCTTAGTTTGTTTTTAAAATGCAATCTGCTTTTCATGATGAACTGGAATCTGTTTAAGTGACGACGGGGAACCTGATCAGTATTGTACAGAGATGAATATAAGTTATAAACATTATAGTCACCTGGTTGTGTACCGGACATGATGAACACTGTAGGAGCCAGTATGATGAAATATACAGAGAATGATTTTAATGCTTTTGAATAGAACTTTGACATGATTTATATTAATGTTTGTTTGGTCTTCTTATTGTTGGTTATTTGTGTGATGATTTGTTGGGAGCTGGTCACATGGTTCAGGCTGGTGAAGTTTATGTAGGTACCTGCTCACCTGAGGCAGGTGAGTGGGACGCCGTATTCTTTATCGACCGCAACCTTTGATCGCTGCGAGATTAATTATGTTTTGTGCGCGTTATATTAAATCAACCTTTTTTCAATATTAAACTTTTGAAACATATTTTGGATCTCAGCGACTCTTTCAGACAAAGCGCTCGGCCCAGTTTCATCCTCTCAGCGCTCTTTAGTTTGTTCATGCTGGTTTCATACTCAGATTTCTTATTATATAACTAACATCCTGACATGTGGGGAGTCCTTCTCTACTAAACACAACAAACCACATTATCCTCTCCAGCGCTGCAGACCAGTCAGTCCCGGAGACTTGACTTTTATTTTGAATTTAATAATTTGAACATATGAGCAACATATTTATGAAACCCAAAAAAAAGTAGGTAGAAACTCTTTAAAACACACTAAATATATTGGACGTTGCTGTCAAATCCCATTTAGGCTGCAGATCCCAAACACAACAGGCTGAATTTCATCGAGTCACATAAATCGTATTAGAATAAAACGCTGCACAAAACATCTAAAGTCGACCTTTAAATTTAATTGTGCAGCCATAAAAAAATAGAGTGGAGAGCTGGAACAAGCGGATAAATAAGTTCTGACGTTATCAGACTGTGGGAGGAAAAAGTTCATTTAAATAGCCGTGAAATTACAATTAGCATCATTCATTTTTCAGTACATGTACTCTTTAGTCTGCCACCTTTATAGTTAGTTCACATATCAGAAGTTTTCTTTACAAAACAAGACTGACTTATTCATTTTATTTATGTAAAACCTCTGAGAACACACTGAGGAAGAATGATTATTTTCCTCAGCACAGAGAGAAAAGCAACACAGCTGTACCAAATAGAAAAAATAAGAATAAATCACCATGTCAATGAAGAATAAAAATGAAAGTGCAGGACTTGACAAGTCGACTAACACAGCTGTGCTCATAAGTTTCATACCCTGATGGGATTTATGATTTCTCCTCCATTTTTCTGAGAATATGAACAAAAAACTTTTCTTTTACTCATTAGCTAGTGGTCGGGTGAAGCCATTTATTGTCAAACAGGTGTGTTTTTAAATTATAATGACAACAGAAACTCCCCACATGACCTGATCAAACCTTTACATACCTGGTGTTTATGATATACACACAAGTTACACTAAAGGTAACCGTCCTCACCTGTTTGCCTCTAGCCATGAGTGAAAGAAAAGTTTTTCTCTTTTCATTCATATTCTCTGAAAAAATGACAATAGAACAACGCAGAAGTTAGTTAAATTGGCTCAGTTTTGACAGGAACACATCCAGTCATCAATAACAGTGATCTAGTAACATACTTTCTAATGTACAGCCAATATTCTGCAGTATTTGGCTGGTGATACTTTCCTGCTTTTCACATTTTAATGCAGTACTTTAACTTGATTTAAGGTGAGTGAGTGATTGTACACACAGTCCTCCTCAGATGTATTCATCCCCTTCCATTAAAGAAAAGGCAAAATTCACAACAGTCACTCAAATAACTAGAAACTGGAAAAAGTAATAATAAATAAAAATGTGCTAAATTATAATTTAGTGAAATAAGACGTTGCTTTTGAATTGTGGTTGAAAAGAACTTTTTTTAAAAAAAACAAACAAAACTGTCCTGGACAAATTAGAGCACTTTGCTGAGGAGCAGTGGACCAGAATACCTGTTCTGGTTTTTTTGTTTTCTGTTGAACCACAACTCAAAAGCAACGTCATGATTTTCATTAATTTTTTATTTATTATTACTTTAGTCAATTTCAGCTTATTTCAGTGACAGCTGTTGTTTTTCCTTCATTAACGGGAGGGTATGAACACATGTGACTGTATTTTCAGCATCATTGTGGACTTTTATTCCGTTTCCTATCATGCCCTGTGCATTACTGTACCAGTACCGAGCTGTGGGTTTCAGGTCGGAGCTTCTTGCAGATCTGCTGCCCCTCTATGGCGGCCCACACGAACTGCTCTGTGCGCCTGCGCTTGGTGTACGGTCACCATGACAACCACCAGCCGACGAGTATCGATAACCTCCGTTAGCATCACAAATAACTCTACAGAAGTTCGAGGTGGTGAAATTAACCTGTTTGTCACCGACTGTCTGATAAAGTCAGGTCCTGCGCCGACATGGACGTGGTTCTGCCTGTGGAGGCGGACGGGTTCGTTCAGAGTCTGGAAACTTTCTCTCTGAAGGAAATCGGCTCCGAGAGGTGAGAGCGTTAGCAAGAGGTGGCTAAGGTTAGCTCAGGTTAGCTTAGCATGGCTAAAGTTCACAACGTGTGTCATAAGAGCATCTTTTCACAACAGCATGTCTTTAACAGTTCAGTAAATGTGTATAAACTGCTTCTAAATGCCAAATACGGGACTTTAAAGTCAAACTTTACCTGTAAATTATATACATGAAAAATAAATCATACATGTGTTCTCAGTCCACAACCAATCAGAGCAGACAAGAGAACAAACTAGTGAGATTAAATAGTGAAAATTAATACCAGTTAATTAATATGCTGCTCATGTTTCCATATTTTGACATTTAAAATAAAGTTGAAATGTGTAAATTTGCTATATAAATAAAATTTAATTGAAATCTGTCTGTTGTGACTGTTAGTTGTGCAGTCGAGACCTTAGATAATTACAATTATGGATACTACAGGGAAGTACCAGGTCTTACATCAGTACAGAAAAATTAAAAAGCATGGGACGTATTGCTCTGTTAACACACAGTCTGCAAAGTTTAAGGTGTCAGAAGAAAAACAAACACCACAACAGGATCGAGGTCGATAGCTGGACTCTCCTCCTCTGTGGTGGAACCAGTTACTAAACTCTGTTCAATCTGCTGACTCCCTCTCAGTCTTTAAGAAAAGACTAAAGAGACTACAGCTCTCCACTGAACATCTCAGCACTTAACAGACTGAAAACAAACAAACAAAAGTTCCCATTCCTTCCCTCCAGCCTGCTACCAGCATCAGCACCCTGTCATTCTTTAACTTCTTCTGTGGCTCTTATCCAGGTTGTTTTCTCCTGAATGGATCCTTGCTTGTGTTGTATCTGCTCTCAGATGGACGTCTCTTTAGATAAAAGCGTCTGCTAAATGAAATTGTAGAAAAGTAACTGAACAAACTCTGTCTGAAGTCCTTTGCAGTGAAACAGCACCTGAAGAGTTCGACCCTCAGACAGTAGATGCTTTGCTTCTTGCTGGGTGATGCTCTCTCAGGCCTTCACTGCAGACAGTCTCTTCTTGCTTTTAGTCTGGACTTCAGCTAGTGGACTACAACTCAATCAGATCGACTCACTCAACCAGTTGAGGATATTCAACCTCTTCACCTTGAAATGAATTTACAAAATGAGGCTTCTATTCGTGGTGAAACCATCAATAAATGCCATAGAGCCTAAAGCCATAACAGAAGAACCCCTGTGTGTGACAGACGGATGCTTTGGCTCATGGAGGTTTTGTTTTGTCAGCTCACAGACGTTTGTTCTACAACGCTGCTGGTTTATTTTTTATGAGCCTTGACTTTAGGTTTTGAGGCGTATCAGGGGTTTGCACCTCGTGGTGGATCTCCTTCTCTGGATCTTTATTATTATGGAAACGTATCCCTGCAACCTGTTGACTGCAGTCAGAGTCTATCTACTGGCTTGTTTGCTGAATTTTCTGTATTTATAGAATGAACTAGAGGTGTGCATCTCTACCTTGATCCGATATGAATCTAGATGCATGGGTCACGATATGATTCACTAACGGTACATTTTCATACTCTACGATGCGATTCGATGCAGCTTGAATCTATTTGTGTGGTGAAAAAATTACAGAGAAACGTATCGGGTCAGAACAACGTCATTGTGTTTATTTATGACACACAGACAAGACAGACTGCTGCTGCATTAAATATGAAAAACATTAACATGAACTCCTTCAGTATATTACAAACCATAAACTTTGCAAACTGAAAACATTCAACGTGGCCTCAGTTTGTTCAAACCAAACTAAAGCTGAGCTGTGTGTTGTCGTGGTGGGACGCTGCTGTGTGTGTTTCCACTGGTTGCACCGGTACGACCAACTTTCTTATTTGGTCACAGACAAAAACACAGGACTTGTTGAACATCTGCTTATCCAAAGACAATTTACAGATGTTCCCTGAACGCCCCACAGTGCAGGCTGTGGTGGCTGCTGTCAGACAGGTGTGGGACCGAAAAATACATCCGCTCCACATTTCACAAGAAGACCTCATTTCTAAGTGTTGATACCGCAGTCCAGCTATAGACTGTGGGTCTGTGAGTCAACCGAAGCTGTGAAAGTGCTGCTGCTAACCTGAACCCACCACCGTGGTTAAACCAGTAGTTCTGAATCCTCTCACCGAACTTGTTTTTTATTTGCTCAGCACATTTGGTTCTGCTGTCTGTAGATGATGTTGACATGGATGTAGACTTATTAACGAGTCATGTTTAGGTTTTTCTTCTTCATGTAGTGTCTTTATCTTGACACACAGACAGGTCTGGACGGGACAAATCTGGACCAGAACACCGGTGCTGTCGGCCATGCTGTCCTGTTGTTGTTGCGACCAATCATATTAAGCTAACGTTACTCTCATCACAGCGGGAGTCTCGTGAGACTGGAGCGGCCATATTTAGTATCAGAGCTCCAATCAGAATCAGAATCAGACTCCTTTAATGTCGTTATACAAATAAAGTACAACGACATTGGGTGCAGTCCCCTTCAGTGCAAAGAACAACGAACAAACAAACTGAGCAAGATTAAAACAAGACACCTGTAGAGCCTATAGATGCATAGAAAAAAAAAAAGTGACAACAGGTATAAAATGGATGTAAAAATGTGAGAGTTTACAGCAGCAGCGAGCAACGGAGGCACCTGAGAAAAGCTTGTGTTAGATCACACCTGAGTACATGTGACGTCCTGCAGACTGGGAGAATACTAGTCAGTGGATTCACAGGACCGGTGGTGGGACTGGACCCTATCAGTGTCTGTGGGAGTTCAGAGTGGTCGTGGCTCTGGGGGAAAATCTGTTTTTTAGTCTGTTGGTTTTTGTCCTGATGCACCTGTAGCACCTGCCGGAGGGCAACAGGTCGAACATATGGGACCCAGAATGTGAGCTGTCCAATCGATCGATTCATAACTTTGCAACCAGACATCGACCCTCCACAGCAGATACAGATCGATCCAGACGCCCACCGATCAGTGTGTTCATATCGTTAAAGTTAAAATCGATTTCCGGTTTGTGTCGGTGAATCTTTACACTCCTAGAATCCAAAACCACATTAATAAATCTCTGATATGATTTTTGTTTTGTTTAGAGCCTCGTTTCATCTTTTTTTGCCTTCAACTCTTCACTACTTATACTGACAGACAGCAACTTTCCAAATCTAAGTCTGATCTGAGTTCTGGACTTAAAAGACACACAGCTGCCCAAGTGTCCAGTTACTGTTAAACCCTTGTAAGTTTGACAGATTTGTTCAAAGGTCTCCAAAATGTTTTTTTTCCCCCCCAATATTGAAGTAAATCTCCTCTAGTTAAAGCTGAGACTTTAATGCAGCACCCGTTACCTCCTGAAGCAGATTAAAACACGTCGCTGCCCAAACACTGTCGGTTATAACTGGCAGTAATAATTCAGAAATATTGTTCTGAGGGCAAGTCATGTTTATTTGTATGGTACTTTCATTAACAAGGTAGTTCAAAATGCTTTACTTAAGACAGAACAATATTAATGGGGAAGATACAGGCAAGATTTAAATGATAGAAAAATTGATCCTTCATGTCAAAGGACTGAGATTTGGACCAAACCTCAGGTATCTTCAGACATGTGGTGCATAAACGCTTTCTGTTCCTTCTGTGTGTTTACTCTGAAGACAGAAAGCAGACGTGTGACCGACCAGCTGAGATGCTTCATGAAGCAGCCGTTAACAAAACGAACCCTAACTCTGTGCTGTGATGTTCTCTGTGTGTTAACAGGTGGTTCAGACAACACGAGTACATCGAGAAACTCAACATGCAGGCGATTCTAAATGCTTCCTCCATGCACGATGAGTTCATCAAGGAGTCCCTGGTGTCATATGGAAAGGTGGCAGCCGTCCCTATAATACACATGTGATAGTAAAACATCAGTGGTGTTTAAACGAGCCCTGCAGGTGGACTGACAGTGATTCCTTCCTCCTCTCCAGATACCCGTCCTGGTCCACGAGATGATCCTCGTCGAGGTGTGGAAGCACAAAGTGTTTCCCATCTTATGCCGGCTGCAGGATTTCAATCCGAAGAACACGTTCCATCTGTACATGGTGGTGAGTGCAGAATGAGATGTAAGGAGATGATCAGCCTGCAGTCCTCATGCATCATGTGTTCTCTAATGTCTCCGTCTCAGATCCGCCATGAAGCCACAATCATCAACCTTCTGGAGACGATAATGTTTCACAAGGTCAGTCAAATGTCCCTCTTTCTGTATAAATAAGTTTTAAGCATCTTAAAGAATTGATTTAATACAGAGATGCAGTAGAAACTCAGCTGTGTGTCTGGTGCAGGATTCATGTGAAGCAGCTGATGATTCTGTTGTGGACTTGGTGGACTACTGCCACCGTAAACTCACCCTGCTGGCCGGTGAGACGACCAGAGAATGTGCCGTAACTCACGACCAATACAACCACATGACCTCTATTGAGGTAAAACTCTGACATTTATTGTTTAGGTTTCTTTGTTTATTTTCTGGTTTAACATTGTTCAGAATGAGGGCTGCAGGTGTCTCGGTGGTTAGCACCGTTAGCGCCTCACAGCTAGAAGGTCGCCGGTCGGCGTCCCAATGAGGACACCCGGGATCTTCCTGCATGGAGTCTCCATGTTCTCCCCGTGCAGCGTGGGTTCTCTCTGGGTTCTCCGGCTTCCTCCCACAGTCCACAAACATGCTGAGGTTAATTGGTGATTGTAAATTGTCCGTAGGTGTGAATGTGAGTGTGCTTGGTTGTCTGTCTCTAAGTGTAGCCCTGTGATAGACTGGTTACCTGTCCAGGTGAACCTGCCTTCACCCTGAGTCAGCTGGGATAGACTCCACCCCCCATGACCCTGGTGAGGATGAAGGTGTAGAGATGATGGATGGATGGATTGTTCAGACTGACTTATAAACATCTATCCCACCGTGTGTTTCTTCTGGTGAAGGAGTTGCGGATGCAGAGTGCTGCTCTGGAGTTTGAAATCTCTCTGAAAGCTTTATCCGTGCTGCGCTACATCACCGATCACACCGACAGGTAGGGCAGGACTGACCGGAAACTCCTTTACAACCATATTTTGACAAAGCAATCTATTATTTCTGAATTAAACCTGAACAATCACACTCAGCATCGCTGCAGAGACACTGTGAAGCTCAGTGAGACCTTCCTTGTCTTTACAGCATCAGTATCATCAGTCGCATGCTGTGCACACATAACGTCCCCTGTGTGCTGGTTCAGCTGATTGACTGCTGCCCTTGGAGTCGCTGCAGAGACGGTAAGTCGCAGTGCTTACATTTAAAATGTGTCTGTGCATGTTTGTTATCTGTTAAAGGCATAGTTTGAGATTTGGAGAAATACACGTATTCAGTTTCTCTCTGAGAGTTGATGAAACAAGCAGCTTAGCGTAAGAACTAGTCAGTTTGATTAAACAAGACATAGTGTGTAATATGTTGAGAGCTTTGCAGGTGCTGGTAGTTGGATTTTATTGCCTTCGAGCAGAGCTGGACTCAACATCTCCAGCTCTGTCCAGACAAAGCTAACACACCGTTGCCTTCATCCACCTATTTACCAACAAACATGAGTATCTTGATCTTCTCACCTTGCTCACCACAAAAACAAACAAGCACTTCCCCCAAAAGGTCAAATCGCTCCTGTAAAAATAAGTTTTTCTCCTGTTAAGTAACCTTTTGTCCACTTGTCTGCTCGCTGTCTCCTGCTGTAGGTGAGCTACAGAAGTACGTAGATGGCAAATGGCAGAAGATTCCTGCTGAGGATCGTCTGAAGATGACAAAACTGGACGGTCAGGTCTGGCTCTCCCTGTACAATCTGCTACTGAAGGAGGACTGCCAAAGAAAATATGACTTCAACAGTTTCAACAAGAACCAGCTTCTGAAGGTGAGTGGCAGCTGTCAGTGATGTGATGATGACCTTGTGCTGCTGTTTGTGGTGTCTCAGGTCATCAGTGTCTGATTCTGAAGCACATCAACCAGCTTGTCTTCCTGCTGGATATTAGCTGTAAACCGGTGCTGAGGAAGTGTGCGAGTGCCAGATCATTGTCCTCCAACATCATCTCCTCCCCTGCCAGGGCACAACTTCAGTTTCCAAGTTGTTTTGACTGAGATGTTTCCTCCTATTCTAAGCTTTCTCATCCTCTTCCTGTTACATTAATTATATAACCAGAGATCCTTGTGCATCCTCTCCTAATAACACTTCTGATATTTCTGACATTGTTATTCTAGCTGCTGCTGCTGTTTTATTATTTGTTATCCTTCATGTGCCGCAGCTCCGGGGCTTCTTGACAGATGTGTTGATTGATCAGTTTCCAAACCTGGCGGAGCTGCAGCGCTTCCTGGCTCATCTGGCGGTTTCAGACCCAGCGCCTCCAAAAAAAGAGCTCATTCTGGAGCAGGTACAGTCGCACTCATAAATGTGTCATAAACTATGCATTTACTAGGCTGCAGTCCACTAAAACAAACTTAATAGACTGAAATTGTGCGTTCTCTTCAAACAAGCCACTACTCATGTGGAAAATAAAATGAACTCAGCTCGTTAGATTAGCTCAATCAGCTGCAGTGCACTGAGTTCACTCCACCTGCACGCCTCTGTAGCTTAAACGAACCACAAATAAACACAAAAAGCAGCGTATTAAATCATTTTAACCCAATCTGACAGTTCCCATCCTGATTTAATTGTTGCGTTTTAGTGAAAGAGGAGGCTTCATCCAGCTCGGTGAGGCTGTAGCTGCTGCTATCGATGCAGGTTCACGTCATTATTAAAGCATTTTTCAACCCAACCTGTTGAAATGTGACAGATCTGATATGTTCACATCCAAAGCTTCAAGATTACAACACAACAGGTGATAGTTGAGCTGTGAGCAGAGGCTGTGTTTGCAAAGTTTATGAACACTGGCAACCGTCAAACCACTGATCATGTTGTTGGATGAGAGCATATCGACTAATCAATCGACCTGGACCCTCACATTCATCCTGGACTCTTCCTCATCTATAGATCCCAGAAATGTGGAACCACATTGTCAGAGAGAACTCTGGGAAGTGGAAGGCACTAGCTAAGTACCAAGTCAAAGAGACCTTCAGCCCATCTGACAGCGTCCTGAGGCAACAGGCGCAGAGGTAATACCCACAACACAAGCCCACCTGAGCAGTGGAGTTCCTCATCACCAACCTGTGAGTAATCATCGTTTGTTTCACCCAGGCTGGCTCAGACGTACAACCTGGACGTGATGGAGAGTTTAATCCCTGACAAGCCAAAGTGTGGATCCTGTGGGAAAGAGGCTACAAAGAGATGCTCTCAGTGCCAGGGGGAGTGGTACTGTCACAGGTAGGACTGGCTCTGGACCGGACCGTCAAGGTTACGAGGGTGCAAAGAGATTGTACCAGTTCTTCCACTTTAGTTGGCATGAGCTGCTGTAGAAGTAGTTTACTGCATTCACCATGTGAGATACGGGTAGAGGATGGATGTAGTACTGAAACATGTTATGTCCTGTATCTAGTGTGTTCTTGCTGATGTAAATAAGGTGTAAAGTTTAGTTGGTGTTTTTGCTTTTGACAGAGAATGTCAGGTGAAGCACTGGCCCAAACACAAGCAAACCTGCAGGCTGCTCGCCACGGCCACCGAGAAGATCCAGAAGGATCTGCAGGTCAGCAGCTGAGAGGCTGTATGGACTCCTGAAGAACATACATACATTTAACACGTTTCTTTTCATGATGGAAATATTTATGCACCACGACAGAGTTCAGTTAAAACGTGCTGTAATAAAGTTTTAAACTGATTAAAATCTGTACCTGTTTAATAAAAGGGCCTGGGATGCTTTTTCTGTTTCCTTCACCTCCAACAGATCTTATTCTTCCCTGTTCTTGGTGTGTGACTGTAAAGTAAACTGTAGTCACTCATCCAACCTGCTGTGAGATGAGGAACGAGGACGCGCAGGTGCTTTAAACACAAACCAACCTGCATTACTTATAACACCAGAGTTAATGCTGATGGGATTCTGTGGTTCTTCTTTTAAGAGTGTCATAAAAGACATACCAAAGCTGGAGATAATATGAGATGTTGGACTGGCTGTTGCACATTAGTGGTTCCGATCTTTCTGCAGTTTATTCACATATTTCCACTGCGGTGCCAAATGAAACCCAGATCCATCCCGCTGCGCTCGGAGGGTGGGGGACTTCTGCACGCCCACTGGGCCGCGCTCCGGACTCAGAAGCACCCCCTATGCGAAAGCATTCCGGATGTCGGTCTGTCGGAGCGGCTCAGTCTCATCTCGCTCCCTCCGTCTCATGATGGGCCGCTTCCTCCTGCGCCGCAGCCCGACGCAGCAGATGGTTCCCGGAGCCGAGCAGGCGCCTCGACGCGTCCTCTGACGGTACCGTAAGTCCTCATGAGAGCTTATTTCCAGAGATGAAGCCGAGGCTGCACACCTCCGTTACTTGGAAACCTTCAGACGTTTCTGCGGAAAGTTTTTCTCCTCGGATGGAAGAAGTTTTGAGACAAAGCGGCTGCCACGGGGCTGATTTCTCCTCCAGTCTGGTGAGTTGGACCTCACAGTTCATCTGATTTTAATGTTTTTAAAGGACTGATGTGATCTAAAGTGTTGTTTAGGACTCAACATGTGATCTGTGCCCTCTGGAAAAAAAGAAAGAAGTCCTGTTGAATGTACAGTACAGTTTTTTTTACACTCCAACATGCTGCAGTAATTATATCCTGCTCTGCTTTGCTTGGGCTGCAGATGTTAGTTAGTTATACATGACTAACCAGCTCATATAAAACTGTCTGCTAGTCCACTGAAGATGGCCTAAAGGAGGGAAAAAGCAGAAAAACAAGCTGTATAGTTACATAACCAGAGTAGAAGCTGCAGTTTGAAGGATTTTTTCCATTTTATGTCCCATCATGTTTCAGCTTTACTACATGTTAAAGGGGAATGTACTTATTATTACACTGACATGATTCATAAGCAACCAGTTAATAGAATATCATGTATTATAAGAAGGTGAGTGCTGTTTGCAGACTAAAGCAGCAGTAAAGTCGTGTCAGGATGAAATGTAAATGCTGATAATACTACCACTACTCCCTTTATACTCGATTATTTATGGTGTTTGTGCCCCTATATTAAAATTATTGGTATTTCTTTTTCCAAATTATAAGACCTGATACCTCTACTGTGAGTAATAATTATGGTTTTAAAATCAAATCCAGTTTATTCTCATGTTGCTGTACATCCACAGCAGTGAAGGCAGGAGGGGAGCGTTTCTTCATGATCCATTAACTTAAAGAGAAATAAAGAAGTGTTTTTGCATATCTGGATCAGCAGTTCAGCGTTCTGACAGCTTGTTTGTTTCACTTTCATTGTGTTTTCCATACGGTTCACTGGATGTATTCGTTTCTTTGGTAAATGACTCGTTGGTCGAGCAAAGCCGACCTTCAGACGATCAGAAACGTCACACAAACATCACACCGGCTCAGTTTCTGCTCCGCATGTCTGTGACTGACTCACAAAGTGACACAAGATCAGTCAAAGTCACTTTATTGTCAGTTCTGCCACATGTGTACACGTATAGAGAACTGAAGTTACTCTCAAACCTTCATTTAAAAACACACACACAGTGGAAAAATACACATAGTAAAAAATATTTAAACATATAATAAGCAACAAAATATGCAATTTAAACATATAATAGGCTAAAAAATATATAATTTAAACACATAGTAGGCTACAAAACATACATTCTGACCTTATAATAAGCTAAAAATATAAGTAAACACAAAAGAAAACAGAAGAATCTGCATTAAGACTTTGGTTCAGAGCCGGATTTGTTTATAGAAAAACTAATGTGCAGTGAAAGCAAATTATAAACAGATAAAACATTATGATGTCATGGTTTCTTTTGACCTGCTCATGTGTTTGGCAGCTTCGCCTCCCCGTTTATATGCTATAATCTGTGTTTCTACCCGTCAGTGAAAATGGAGGGAACCCGGACCTGAGCGCCACGATGTCTTGGGGGGAGTTCATCGAGCTCCGTGACCTGAGGTCCAGCAGAGAGCAGATAGAGCTGACCGGCTCACGCTCGCCGTGCTCGCCTCCTCGCCTGGAGAGGACCAACGCCCTGAGGATCAGCCCGGGCAAGGTCCCGGACCTGCTGAGCCGGGTGGGCATCATCAGAGTCCTGAGCAGCAGCCAGGACCCCCAGCTCCCCGAGGAGAAGGGCGAGGGACACAACTTCCAGCCCTGCAGCCACGCTCAGCCCACGTGGTGCGACCTGTGTGGAGACTTCATCTGGGGCCTCTACAAGCAGAGCCTGCGGTGTGTCAGTGAGTCGCTTACGTAGGCTGCTGGTGCACGAGGGTGTGTGCATGTGTGACTGCCGGTGTGCATGTGCAGATCAGAAACACTGAGCGTTAGAGGAAATCTACGTAAACAGAGAAGGATGTAGCTGCAGAGCCACAAAACTGTGTGCTCAGCCCAAACAAAACCGAACAAGTTCAACAGAAATGATCTCCCTGTTGCGTTGCTGTGAAAACGAAGAGAAGTGTTGGTTTCAGACAGAGTTAGTGTCACGACTGCACTGTTTCTGATTTGAATTCAGCTATGCATGCGATTGTTTGTGTGGTTTCCGTGGTTTAGTCGTCGTCTAGGCTCAGGGTCGGCTACAGACCTTCATGCTGCTGTCAGTTTTGAACTTTCTTATTCATTAGCTGAGCTGAGCTGTGGTTTGTGTAAATCATTTAGAAAAAAAAATATCTCCTCGCTGTAATCTGAATGAGAAACCACAATCAAACCATAATGGAACAATGACACAGCTGGATCCAGATGATAATAGCAGATTGTCCTCACAAATGCCATGATTTAAGACAGCATGAGGATTCGTGTCTTCTGCTGTCTGAATATCTGGAGACAAGTGTTTGCACATCATTCAGAGACACAGGATAGCTGCAGGTGTGAGCCGACCGTCAGTAGCTGCAGTGAGCTTTACCGGCCAGCCGAGGACATCTCAGCTCCTAAATGTTCATGATTTTGTCGTGTGTGGCAGATTCTGTCTAAACTCTGTGACTCTCTGACTCGACAGATTGTAGGTTCACATGCCACTACCGCTGCCGGGCCCTGATTCGGCTGGACTGCAGCTGGGAACGGAGCTCTGCGGCTGACCACGCGTGTGTTGTCGAGCACACCATAGAAACAGACACAAATGTGGTAAGCACCTTTGTAGCACGACAACTGTTTTAGCATTCTTTAACAGCCAAGTGTGGTGGGAGACCTTGTACTACAGACCAAACAGGCTCTACAGGCCTACATGTACTCTGCCTGTCACACTGTGTGCTACCTGTTTGGATTTTACTGTGCTGGTAGCATTTAGGGAACAAATCAATACCTCTATGGCTGAAAGTAGGAACCACTTTAGCACGTAAGGACACAGTTTGCCTCCGCAGGTTTAGCTAAAGCTAGCGTGATCCTGTTAGAAGTATGTGTTGGTAACAGTCAAGCATTTCTTCTCCACCCACGGTGACAGCTAACCACATCAGAACCAAGGGAAGTTACCGGGTTCAAAGGGGAAGGTTGTTGAGAAACACAAAACGTTCCACCTTTTGCAAAATCTGGTTCAGTTTATTGGGTCACTACGGAGAAAAATGTGTTTGCAAGGGTTTTATAACGCCCATGGTGTACGTTAAAGGAAACAAAAGAATCAGGACATTTCAGTGGGAGGCATCATAAATATGTTTGTGTCTGTGAGGATCCTCAGTCATCCAGGTCATGGTTAGATTAATCATATCAGCTGGACTTGCTGGAGTTCCTTGAAGACGTTTCACCAAGATGTCTTAAGATCTCTCCCCAGGAAGATGAAACCACATCCACACCAAGCCACAAACACCCTAACGAACCCCACTGTGGCAGGGGGAGCACTAACGAGTCACATAACGAGGGGGAGGAGCAACAAAAACCCAATTAAAGATATCAGTATGTGGAACTCCCAACTAGTCAGTCGGAGCTGATGAAGCCTCTTGGATGAAACGTCTTCAAGGAACTCAAGATTAATCTCTGAGCATAAATACGTCCATGTCAGTGAGTAGACGGCTGCTGTAGCGTACACAGTGTGAAGGTGGACGTGTGGTAAATAGTTTAATCTTCACATCTGCACATAACAAGCAGCAAAGTCGTTTTAATATTCTAGCTAAACGAAAACGACAAAAAGAGCTCTATACTTAGTGACTAGGGTCAGAGAGTCTTCTAGGAATGATTTTCAGCAGAATTTAAGTAATTTCCTGCTGACTCTTAAATTAGAATAAACACCTAACCGTGGTTTCTTTGGGTCACACCGGTGGTACCATAAAGTGTGAAGTCTTCAGAGCAGCTTCAGGGCAGCAGCTGCTTGGTTTTATTCACCGTATCAGGAAACTGCTGCTTATCAAAGAACGACTGGAAGGTAAAGTTCAGCATCAGTATAGAAACTCAACGAGAGACGGCGCTGAGCTTTTGTGCACATGCCGTTTACACAGCAAGGAACAGACGTGACATAACAGCCCAGACAGAACAGTGTTAATAACACCCAATGCCAGTGAATGAGCCTGCACAGCACCAGAGGGCCTCACCTGATCAGAACACAGCCATAACTAGTGTTAAATACCTGTAAATAACACCTGTGTCTTCCTGCTATACGTTCAATTATCTGCCTATGAACGAACACAAAAAATCCCAAAACATAACGGGAGATTCTTTGTGCGATACGACTTTTGGAACCTGCTCGGTGTGAGAACAGGGTTCCTGGGTTTAGCAGCCCAGGTAGCAGAACTCACCAGCTCACACTAGGAGGCTCCAGAGTGTTTCTAGCTGGTACATATCTGCTCATACTTCCCCTCACTTTGTGATTTGTCTCTTAGCCAATGTTGTTGCGCAAAACAAATGTGACCAGCTCCTCAAGCATGTGGAGAAACTGGTGGAGAAATTGAGAAATACCTCATCAGGGGGACACATGCTGTTGGTTTTCTGCGTTATTACTTGAACGAGTTGAAAGGGAACGTTATGGGTGAACACAAGTAAATGGGATCGTTAACTTATCACAGGTTATACAGTTTAAAAAGGAACTTGCATTACAGCTGTTAGCATGTATGACTATAATTTTAAATAACAAGACTCCTGTTAGAGCAGAACTGAGTCTGTTCATCTTCAGTTTCATTATTAGAGCTGCTTCAGGTTTACACGTTTTGCATTGCTGCACATGAATACTGAAGATTTTTAGGTACAACTAACAATCATTGGTTTCTTTTAAGTGCTAATCCAAGACCAGAGATCTTGTTTTTGGTCTTAAATTCTTATTTAACATGAATTCAGGGATTGCTGTGGCATTAAAAAATAAGAAACGTGGCATTTTATCATGACGCCGCTAAAGGAACCAGATTTATTGAGGCTTTTTCATGACGTGGAACAAACTTGATCTGTTTTCTTGATTAAAAAGTGACTCAGAACCCAACTAATCATGAGAAGCGATGAAAGGAGCCCTCCACTGGTTCCAGTTCAGTGTTCTCGTCACGCCTCTACTGGGACGTCTGTGGCTCTGATCAGGGATTTCTGAAGTTTGGGAACATGACCTTGGGTTATCTCAGCTGGAGTTTAAAGTTCCTAACATGAGCCTGTGTTTCAAATTGGAGGGGATTGAAGGTAAAATGGCATTTAGGAGGCAGACGGGTTCTAATGCTGCGTTAATGCCACATGAGAGGGAAAGAACAGATTCCCATGACGTTTGAATACTGTGCGTCTATAATATTACACCATTCAATACACACGTCATCTGATATTTGTTTTTTCAGACATCTGTCTGGTTCTACTTTCAAAGTTTTTAGAAAAATCTGAGCTTTCCAGTTATAAGTCAGGATTTAGTCATTTTAAACCCAGATGTAGTCTGAGAGAGACTTCTGTTGCATTGTGGGAGTTTTAGTTTCCAGGAAAACATTAAATTGCGACTTTTCCGACAGATAATGTTTGCAATATAATTTGTAAAAGTCAACCTACAGTTCAGCATTCATTGTGTAACAGATTTAAAACATGTGATGGAGCGTTACCACTAAAGACGACGGTCCAGAGCCTGACTGTCACACTGAGGATGAGTTTATAAAACCACTGAGCAGACAGCTTTAACCCATGATCTTTATTCTTATGGTTTAAGAAAAAAAGGGGTGTACAGTCCAGTTGACAGGAGTGACGTTTCCTCCCTTCTCCAGTGAACCCATACCACCTTAAACCCAGTCCTGCCGTCCTCCTTTATAGCTGAGATGATGAATAAAAACCAAAAACAGAAAAGCAAATGACAGATGAAGCAGATGCTCATGTAGACGTCTAACCCACGTAATGCTGGAGAAATAAATAGTAGAATAAAAACAAGACTATTTAAGCAAATCAGATATATAAATAATGAAATAATATAAATTATATATATCAACCATACATACAAAAAAAAATAAAGTCAATAAAATACAAATAGGGAAGTAAACTGGTACATTAGTAGGAAACAGATGATAGGCGTGTATACACACATATCTGTAGATGTACATAAATACACAGACAACATGCACAGTGATGGTTATTCTTAGTCACAGCCTTTGAGATTTGTTATTGCTTCAAATAGCAATTTTAGTTTGAAATCAATTAATTGAAGTGAGCGTATGTGGACTACTGCTGTGATTTAGTGTTTTTCTTTATTGCCTCTTGTGGGTCTAATTCTACATCTCCGGAGCACCACTTTAATTTCCTGTTGATTTAAGCCATCAAGGGATTTTGGTAAAAGTATTTTATAGTTTACTAAGTGGTGGCATTTAGTGGCCCCACTATGCAAAGTAAAGGTACGGCTTTTATCACGTCTAAGCTTTTTCTGTAAAGTTCAAGTCAAGTCCTGGTTGCTGTTTTTATAAAAGTAGTGATTTCTACAGTAGTAATGTTCCTAAAGAGCAGCAGCTGTTTATTCTCTGCATACTGTCGGCCTTTTGCACGGCAAAACAAACTGACTTGACATGACAGGAAAAGCAGAAGTACGACTAACAACATTATGTTTGAGCGCAGCAGTGAGTCAGGCTGCCTCATGTGACCAGGAAGCAGCTGTGAGTTAAAGCATCGACCATGAAGAAAAACTACAATAAAAACAAACACAGCATTTTATTTTCTAACCTCTGTAATGGTTAAATGTTTTGCCCTCGGTTCGACCAGTTTGAGGCCTGTTCAGGGTAGGAACAGGATTTCTGGGTGCAGCAGCAGCAACACAGCAGAACCAGTTCACACCAGGAGGCTCCACAGTGTTTCCTGCCAACACTTGTGTGCTCATACTTCCCCTGCATTTAGTGATTTGCAATACCAATAACGTTACGCAAACGCATGTCGCCAGCTTCGTAGCATGTGGAGAAACTGGTGAAGAAATACACTCAGTTGGTTTCTGCTTGAATCAGTTAAAGGAGTGCCTCATGTGGGACGTTTCAGGTTAAAATACAAACAAAAAGATAACAAGAGGAGATTTTTATTTCAGAGTGCATCAGAGTTTAAAGCCTGCTCAGTGTACGACAATGATGACAAGATAAAATAAGGAACGATCTACCACTGTAAATCAAGTTTAACATTTATTTATATAGCTGTGGCACTAATTATCCGACCGCTGCGACCACAGTGTTGCGCCTCCTCCTTTGTGGATCCATTCTTTCTTTTCTTCTTCAGGTTCTCATCAACAGCTGTTTTGCTGATTTCAAACTGGTTTGCAGCGACTCTCTGGCTCTGTGCCTCCGAGGCGGCTTGTCATCTTCTCATCAATTCTCTTCCATTAGGCGTCATTAAGCGATTTAGTTTGGATTATCAGCTGACTTTAGTCTGACTCACTGGATGCAGGACGCTGGTGCTGTCGAACAACAACCTCAAAGCCGACCACGGTGAGGAGTTCAAGTATTGCCAAGGATTTAAATCAGGCAATACGGATAAGATAAGACAAGCCTTTATTTATCTCACATTGTTGTCAGCAGCAGAACACACAGAGAAATGGTGCAAGTATAAAAATACACGTAAAAAAGAATGGTGCAGGCATAGAATATGAAAATGAGGATATATAGAAAAGATATATTTATATATATAAAAGAAATAGAAAATGAAGAATAAAGATATAATAATAAACAGTGCAAATGCAAATATATACAGATGAATTGTGCAATAACCAGTCTGATATAAGTAGTTTATTTCTAAATATGAATGGTTTTGTTTATTGTGCATAAAAAGGAAGCCCTGCTAGGTTTTATTTTATAGGATAATCCATTTTAATCACAGTACTTGTGTCCTTGCTTGCAGAAATGTCACCATAAGAATTGCAGTGGTTTCTATTTGCAGTGAACACTGAAGCTGCATCCTATATCATGGTCCACAGACAAACCAGATGGTGGTCTGGTGCACCAGACAAACTGAGAATAACTTCAATAATACACTAAATAACAGAGATCCAAAACCCAGCCAGCTACTGGGAATTATGATTTATATTTGTTTCAATGCAGCTTATTTTTAAACATCATTTATTGTAGTTATTAGATTATTTAAAGCTGTTTGAAGCTGCTGTAATAGTTCAACCACTATTATGATCAAACTAAGTGACGTTTGTCCAGAAAACAACCTGATGACTTCCAGAGCTGTAGCCGGTGAGCAGCGCGCTCTCCCGGTCCGGAGGGGGGCCGGCGTCACGTGACAGCTCCAGCGTGGAAGAAAAGCGCTCAGCATCCGTCCATGGAGGCCGGAGGAGGGGCTCAAGTCTGGCATTTCCCGTCGGCGTCCAATCGCTGCCGGCTGCGGGCTTTTTGTGTATTTTCCAAACCCCGAGTCAAACGGCCCAGGGTGGGGCCTCGGCGGGGGCAGGAAGCCGGCAGGGCGGGCGGCTCGGGGCAGGGCGGGGGCCGACACATCCTGTTTCACACAGTCTGCTCGGTAGAAACGTGGCCGGTCGGCTCAGAAGAGTTCCAGAGATTTTTATCAAGTTTTTATCGAGACTTTATTTTGACACCGTTCGTGAAGAAACGCTAAAGGCTAGTGGTCGGTTTTAGCTAGTTGTCGGTTTTAACTAGTCGTCGGTTTTAGCTTCTGGTTCTGAGTTCGTGTGTTCGTGTCGGTGAACTCGGCTCACTTTTGACTCCTTCCGTCGCTCCAGTTCCTAGTCTTCGGCTCTAGTCGTGAAGCCTGAACCCGTAGTCAGCATGTCAGACTCGGCCAGCAGCTCGGACAAGACCCCGTCCTTCGAGATGACCTGGGGCAGCTCCACCAGCAGCGGCTACTGCAGCGACTCGGACTCGGACACCGAGTTCGAGCAGTACTTCACCGCCCGGACGTCTTTCTTCCCCAAAACCCGGAAAACTCCCGCGACAGCTAGCGTGAAGAAGGTGAGAGGGATGATGATGATAATAATAAAAAAATAAAACGAAAAGAAAAAAAAAACACATAAAAAAGTTTATTAGAAAGAGGAAGTGAGACGAGATTCATGTAGTCTCGCGTTACTTGACAGTTCCGCTTTTGCTGTCAGTTTTTGGTTTATGCACAGTTCTGGTAGTTTTCTTGTTGACTTGTTGTGCAGCCTGGTTTCTGTCTGCTCCTGGGAACACCTTGTTTTGCTCAGATGCTTGCCAGGGGGAGCCTGCAGACTCCTGGGTGGAGTTCTGGTTCCTCCGGTTCTGACTGAACAGACCGGACTGGGCTGAACTTTATTACATGCACATCAACACTGGAGGGGATAAAGAAGCAGATGCCGGCGTGTGTTTTTTGTTGTAACATGCAGGGACCCACATCTGAACTCCTCCTGAGAGATCAACCCAAATGTCATGTTTGGTGACGCACGCTCGCCTCTCGAGTTTCCATCCAAACACCCACCGTTCACCGACCCGGCTCGCAGGTTTCTCACACTAATTTCTCAATCATGGTTGAGTCATGGGATGTTTTGGTTTTGTTCATTTTCTTGTCATTTAGTCACACACGCCCACGCCGGTGTCACCTTTCTTTCCAGAGGCACATATGCCGTTAACCGGAGACGCCATCCTCTGTCTGTGCAGGAGCCATTTTAATGGGATGTTGTTGGCAAACACACATGATGTTTCTACGGCACTCCTCCACCGGGCATGTAGAGGCACAGATGCTCGGCATGTTTTCCTCCTGCCATATGGAAAGCTCAGCTTAGCCCTGGTATTGATTTATTGACTCGTTAACAGCAGCACATTAAGTCTTCAATCTGCCTGAGGAGGGCAGCGATTGATCTTCTTCTGCTTGACATTGATTTATAAGCTGTGCAGCTCTGTCTGTGCTTTATTACACAATTAGTCTTCTTTACAGTTAATCTGGTTTTGAAATGCGAGGCTGAGAGAGATTAAAAATTGTTCAGATTTTATGTAGTAAGCCAGTTTTAGTATCATCCAGATAGTAATATTTCACTCCTCTGAAGACCTCATGCTTCCTATTAGCTGGTGTGTATCCTGGAAAACACATTAGTTCTGCCTCAGAGTAAAATCAGATTACTATACAGGAAATACCAATTAGTGGATGCATACAGGAAAAGCCCAAATCGAGGTAACGGTCGCACAAATGCTGGAGGCCAAATGTGCATGACTGAAACATGACTGCGGGAGTGCGGTCGATGAGGCAGCTGACTTCACAGGATGCGTCTGGAAAACAAGGCAGAGCATTGTCTCCCCCGCCTGTGGGAGCCTAAGGAGGGAGGCTATTTTTACATGAATGCCAAGCTGAGGAATGCAGCGCCGAGCCGTTGGTCGCAGTCGCAGCAAACAGCTGCAAGTTGAACAAACCCCCTCCCTCCCTTCCTCCCTCCGTCCTCCTCCCTTCAGCCCTCCTACGCCGAGAGATCAGAGCGGCCAAGCGCGATTGGACGGAGCTGACATCATCGTGTTCGCCTGTGCTTCGTTGTCAGGAAGTTGAGAGTCTGATGCAACTGGTGTTTGCTGTTAAAAAAAAGCCAGTGGGGCCTCGTAGAAAGTCGATTAATATCTTTACCAAAGTGGGGCTGTTTGTAGCTCCTTCTTTCACTTTCCAGTTGCATTTACAGGAAAGCACCAAACCTCCCAACTTATTCACGACGCTCTCTAAGTTCCTGAAAAACATTTGAGTGTTTTCACACAACAGTAGCATGATGTAGAGGGGTTCATCTCGTGACTTAAAGTTGACATATCATCGACATTTTTACAGAAAATGACTTTAAAACGGACTCTTGTTCCGACCCAGGATCCTATCAGGTGTCCTGTGTTGTGCTGATGAATTATGCATGCCGAGCTGTGATCTCCGGCTTGTTCCTGCTGTGGTTTGGAAGGAGGCGCTGACATCTGCTGGTTTAACGCTGCAACTCTCTCTCCAGGATGAACAAGTTGAATCGGGCAAGCAGGAGCTGACGGCTGCAGACGTTCAGCAGAAGGTGAAGGAGTACAACGCTCAGATCAACAGCAACCTGTTCATGAACATGGTGAGGGCTGATTATTCAAATCATTTTAATGTAAAGCTGTTTATTTCCCCTCAGATTAATTAACGTGGCTAATTTAAACTCCAACAGAACAAGGATGGGTCCTACACTGGCTTCATCAAGGTGCAGTTCAAGTTGGCCCGACCCGTGTCGGTTCCAGCCCCAAAGAAAGGAGGCCACGACGCTGGAGGGAGGAGGGCCAGTGGAGTGAAGCGTCGCACCTCCTTCTACCTGCCAAAGGACGCGTCCAAGCATTTGCACATAAGTTCACGCACTTCTGCTCGTGAGGTCATCGAGGCTTTGCTGAAAAAGTTTACTGTTGTGGACAATCCTGGAAAGTTCGCTCTGTTTGAGCGCAGCGAGCGTCATGAACAAGGTGGTCCTCCTCAACTCCTGCCAGGTTATTGCCTTTTTTGTTTTTTAAAATTGCAGCTCACTAACTGGATTCTTCTTGTTTTCCTTCATCAGTTTATGTTCGTAAGCTGTCCGATGACGAGCGTCCCCTCCGCCTGCGTCTGAATGCTGGGCCCAACGAGAAAGTCCTCAGTTTTGTGCTCAAAGAGAACGAAACCGGTGAAGTCAATGTGAGTGCAACACAAACATGAGATAAATGATCCAGATGCCACATTGGACGACACAAACACGGATAGTTCTGTACATACACTGATGCAGCTTCTCTCCCCTTCTCGTCTGCAGTGGCACGCCTTCTCCATGCCCGAGCTGAAGAACTTCCTGCGCATCCTGCAGCGTGAGGAAGAGGAGCACGTCAAGCAGATCGTGCAACGATACGCTCTGGCTCGCACTAAGATGCGCGAGGCTCTGGCCGGCTCGACCCCCGGCTGAGACCGCTCTGCGCTCGGGGTTCGACGTGCACCTCTTGGCTGGACAATCGAGCGAAGATGACCGGCCATCGCTGCATCCAAAGATCCCAGAGAATGCAACTCAAAACGCCTCTTCGGTGACCGAGAGAGTGAGACAGGGCGCAAGACAATGAGAGAGAGCTAGCGCGAATGTGCGTGTGAAGTGATGCGAGAGAAGTGCCTTACACCTGGAGAGTCTGATGTGCCTGAGAGAATGAGTTGAGAGACGCAGAGACTGGCAGACGAGACATATCCAGTAATGTCTTTAGCTATCGGGTTCCATCTGATTATCCTGTACCTCAGCTGTGCCACTTGAGTGATGATTTTGGCCTTTTTAAGATATTAAAACACCCAGTTTAACACCAGTAGAACCAGTGCTGGAGTCGGTGCTGTTGTTATCGTCACATTCCTGATATTTTACTATCAAAACAAAACGAGTTATTAATGCTTTACAGCTTGTTACAGTCAATCTGACCTTCAAAAACCCTATTTTTACCTTATTTTACACGGTTACCCTGTTATAAAGTCACCATCTACGGTACTTGTTGCTGGAAGGTTCTTGGGTTTTCATTTGGCCCGGGCTCAGCGGTCTGCCACGTCCTCTCCGTACACCCCCGACGGGTGCAACTCTATGTCAATGTCAGTTTGTGAGTATGACTGATGTATGGACATTTGTATGCCACTATGAATGTCAGAGAGAGCAGTGTCCAAGTCAATCTGCTTGGCTGGAATCCTGAATGAATCTTGCTATACGTGTGTTTCACTGTCATTCCTTATATCTGTTTTAAACCAAAAGTCTGTCTTCTGTTTTTCACCTTCACTGTACCAGTCTATGCACACATTTACATGTTGAAGAATGTCTGACAAATGTGCACTGCGTTTAGTAAAGAGTTTCCCAAAGCTACCAAGTTCTTGTATTCATTCCAGCTGTAAGTATTTAATATTTAAGGACTAAAAGTTAAACATTTCTTATATTTATTTTAGTCTTCTGTGTGTGAAAGCCCCTTTGTTACCACAGATAACTCTAATCTTTCTGGAGGCATGTCTATAAACGTGTCCCATCCCGGTAATGAGATGTTTTCTCTTTAACTGATCACCGGTTGTCGGTCAGATCAGCTGATCGCCTCAGCGACGCGCCGCCGACCACAACAGCTAGCGCTAGCTAACCATAGCTGCTAGGAGAAGTTATGACAGGACCTGCCGGGTTAACAGCACATGATAAGGTAGGATACGGACTCGAAGCGGGCTTGAGGTCACAGATTGGGTTAATAAACGGCAGTAGTCCTGTGCGTGCTGACAGACGCGCCTCTTCCTCGTACAGCGACTGTTTAGCCGCTGAAGCTAACCTGCGTCAGTGGTCGAAGCTAACAGGCTAACTCACCTAAATGTGCAGGTACCGTTAGCGGGCTGTTATTAGCCAAATGTAGGTTACGGCGGGTTGAACGGGGGCGTTTGTGAAACATAGACGGTGAACATTGAGCATGAATAATTGTTCGTGTTCCTGGATGAACACAGCGATGAGTGCAGTGATTTGAATCCGACTGGCTGCGTTTAGTTTTGGGTTTGTGTGGCCCGGCTGGTTAGCCTGTGGTCGAGCTAGCATAGCATTACAGTATGAAAGAGACTGCAATGACAAACATGACGGGCTGGGGTGGGTTACACTTGGTTTACATGCAGATTAAGCATGCAAATCTCACTGTTTCAGGAGGTTAAATTCAGCCACATCTCTGCAGTGAGTAAAGCTGTATTACGTGGTTTATTTAGCATTTATTATCTGCACATGTAATCTTGTGCAGTAAGTGGTGGAAAAACAACATGAGCTCCAAATGAAAGGTGCCACAGCTGGAAGTAAAGCAGTCATTTAACCAGCAGTCTGACTTGTTTGTGCACTTTCTAGGTCCTGGCTGTGGTGAGCAACTGAGAGCATCTGGCCTCCAACCAGACTGAAAGCTCTGAGTGAAGACTAACTATGCCTTATCTCTGAGAATGGGGGGAAGTGGATCCAAAGCCAAAGGTGTCTGGCCTTTCTCAGGCAGCGGAGGTGGAGGTGATTCAGGAAGCGAAGGGAACGAGCAATCCTTGGCCCGGCTGAAGGGCTCCAGGAATGCAACACCGTTTGTTTTCACCAGGAGGAGGTAAATGTTCCTTGATAGGAAATGGCAGCGGGTTGGGTCACCGTGATCACAGCATGTTTCTTATCTGACCCCAGTGGTATCGACTCAGGCTGGTAGTTTTTCTCCTGCTCCACCCACACAGTGAGAGGCTGTGAAATAAATGTGTAGCTGGAAGCAGCAGAGTGATGGGTGTGATGAAAGGGGGATTACATTACACAGAACGCCCGAGATGGATGGATCCGGGGCACTACATTTCATAGTCGTGACCCCGACCCAGAGGCCACAGGGTCACCGGCAGCATCCTATGATTTGTTTGCCTCGATAGCTCTGTGTGTGTCTGTAGACAATATCCTGGTTACAGACTTCACAGTAAATATTCATTAATAGTTGTGCAGGTTTTACAGGCACAACATTTGAATTCAGTGTTTTATTTATCCCCAGTGGGACCAAACACACATGGCAGAGCAAAGCAATGCTGTAAATGTTCACTAACGTAAATCTGATTAAACACAAAAAGGCTCATTCGTCAGCACTCAGCTCAATACCTGACAGCAGGATTAACTCTGGGTTTGTGAACGCTACACTTCCTGACGTGCGGTTTCTGCGTTGGCAGCTCGTTGTACTACGACGAGGACGGCGACCTCGCTCATGAATTCTACGAAGAGACGGTGGTGACGAAAAATGGCAGAAAAAAGTCCAAGTTGAAGAGGATCCAGAAAAATCTGATTCCGCAGGTGAGCTGGCGACGCGTTGTGGTCGTAACGAGGGATGTTTGTTCTGACTGACTGAATGCCGTTTCTTCTCCTTCTCAGGGAATCGTGAAGCTCGACCACCCCTGTATTCATGTAGACTTCCCCATTGTCCTCTGTGAGGTGTGAACGGCTGCACAGGACTGATCTACGATGAGGTGCAGCCGCAGAAACTCTTCTCGGAGCGAAGTCGTGTTCCATTCCCGGGGGTCGAGACTGGAACGGAGGTCCGGAGGGAAAAAGGAAAACTGTCACCTAAATTGATATATTGAATGAAATGTTATACATTTGAATTCAACTACGGTCCGAGCGTGCCCTGTTCACTAAAACCCACATTTTGACATTGAAGTAGTGTCGGTACAGGTCGTGTTTCCGCTACCCAGCTGATATGTAAGCAGTCTTTGAGAGAGCATCAAACTGAGCTGTATTTCTCCTGTGAGGTTTTTTTTTTGTTTGCAGGGAAAAACACGTCTGATGTGAAAAGGCTTTAACGGTTCATGCCTTCTGTGAGACGTAGAGTGTTAGACTCTGTGTGTGTCGTCGTACGTGTACACGTGTTAGTTCTGTTCTGACAGGATGTGTGAACGAGGGATGTGAGATGTGTTACCGGCGTGGGAGCAACGAAGGATTGTGAAATTTATTGTATATACGGTCATGTTCTGTATCGTCACGTCTGAGTCTGTCTCAGTTTCTGGAGCTCAGACCTGCACTAGTGAACATAATGTACTGTAAATACCTTCAGATTTCTTAGTTGGAAATACTTGAATAAATGGTTTATTGAGCTGAATCCTGAGTCAAGAGATCTTTTGTTTTAATGGTTCCTAATTGAGTTTTCATTACACTCAACAATGTCTTACCTGTTGTTACTTCACTCTGTTTGGCATCACATTGCACAACCACCTATGTTTCCCTGTTGACTGGATGAAGGAAGCGCGTCTGTCTGGGCTCATCTTAGAGCTTCAGTCATGGATGTACGTCATGTGGGAGCCTCTCGTGGTCCGATACGCCGGTTCTGTGACTGTAATGTGGAAACTTGAAGTCTCACAACGGACTCAAAGTAGGAAACATCTTGTGTCGAGTATTTAGGTAGTAAAACATTTTATCACCTTTGGACGGGCTGGTTGTTTTCTCTGTTTCCAGTATTCCTGCTGATGTCACGAGGACGGTATCAGTGTTATTGTGGAACTCAAATAAGTCGATGACCCAAAACGTCAGGCTATTTCTGTGAATAATGGAACAAAACTGAATGATCATATTCTCTGTGTTTCTCATTATGCTCCCATTTTAATCTGAAAAGTCTTCCTGTACATGTGTGAGAAGAGAGTGAAAAGTAGACGTTGGATTCTCATAAGTTTGTGACTTTTGAAGCCGTGGTCAGAGCACTACAGCTGTACACGTAACCCTGACATCTTCAGATTTGGGCTTATTTTCAGTGTTTCCTCGTTGCCTTGTTGAGTTTCTGCCGTGCTGAGCGGTGATCCTGCTGTCAGCAACTACAGTCAGTGTTTGCTTAGTTTGTCTAATCATGCAAAAATGACTTTATTCTGCTTTTAAAATCTGATCATTTCTGTCAAAGTGTGTCACCTCTAGGTGGCAGCAGAAAGCTTCTCTCTTTACTGCTCATGTGTAGGTTTCTGTGGCTTTTATCATATATGTTTACTTGCTTTCCGCTAATGATGTTTTTGTGCAATTAGACTCCCCGAAAGGCTGAAGATAAAATTAAACGCTGCCTGGAGTGAGAAGTCAAAGCCTCGCTGTCGTGACCAGTTGAGGTTTGTGCTGCTGCCAGCTGGCACACAGTCAAACTTTAATGGCAAAGCAAAAATATTTCAGTGTGCGCAGCAGACAAATACATGGGAAGGGCTTCTTCTGCAGGCATTCTCTGGTGTCTGTAATTGTGTGGAATGCGGTTGGGTGCGTTTTTGGGCCAGAGGTCACTCACTTTGATGTGTTTTCTCTCCGCTGGTCTTTGAAGTTCTGCTAAAAGTCCCGCTTGAATTAAAAGGATGAACCCGTTCTTATGTAGAAATGCTCGACCTTCATGAATGTGACACTGCCTGGTGTGTTCTGTTCCCTGATGTGTACAGTGTGCTCTAACGGGGAAAAGCCGTCCATGTGGCTTTGGTTGAGAGAGACTGTCATTATAAATTATCAGCCGCCTCGAAAAAGCACTAAAACATGCTTTGAATTACAAACAGTGAAAGAGATTTATTGTTTTCTCTGGAGTCATTTACAGAAGTGTAGCAATTTAAAGGAAAAGTCTGATTTATGTCAGTTCACAGGTGGATTATGTTCCACTGTGATCACACGTAGCGTTCAGGTACATGTGTGGTAACATCCTGTTTGTCTCGTCAACGCATCGAGACACTCGAAAGAAAAGCTGCAAACAGTGAAATGTGTAACTCCTCAGCGTCAGACGTTCAGGCTCTTCTCACACAAATTACAGGTTTTAATGTCGTGTTCAGATTTAGATTAAATTATTTTTTGTTCCTCGATCCGACTCGCCGAAGCGCTGGGGACACAAAGTGAAGGTGGCAGGGCGTGTCGCCAGTTCCCCTCCATTGTTTTCACTTCCTGACAGTCCCTGATTCCCGCTGATGTAACGAGCAGGAGGCAGAGGTCAAAGGGAAGCAGAGGCTGGAGGGAAAGCAAACTATTCCTTTGTTCCTTTCCCTCCCTTCTCATTCACACGGGTTGTGCATGCCCCACATTTTCCCTAAACACAGAAAGACGGGAGGAAGAGACAAAGAGAGAGAAACCGATGACACGGCGAAGTGAGTCAGCAAAGCTCGGAGGACGAGCAGCAGGACGGACTCTGACACAGGAAGACGTCGGACCTCCGGGCCTCCAGCTCGTCCCCGTCACGTGCTCGGCCTTCACATGCATCCGCAAAGGGAAACTTTTGAGAAACTCACCCTTGGACTACTAGGCAGAAGCAACAGCTTTAATATCCGCTCACACCGGGAACTTCTTCCTCCGCAGTCCTGCCTGTTGAAGCTGGTTAATTAAGTGTCAATGGACGACCTCTATCCTCTTCTCTGCTGTACTTGGCATCATGACAGCATGTGGTACTCGGTTACTTGGCGGAGCCGTTGCCAGCGGCTGTCATCGCACGCCTCAGGCAGCAGTGACATCTGCATGCCAGATGCCTTGTGCCCACCGTCTGAAGTGTGCTCAGAGCATTAGTGGAAAAAAATACTAAAATCCTCACTTAAGTAGCAACACAACAATGTCAAAGCACTTCAATGAAACCAGAAGGCCCGTTAAAAGCAGAACCAGCAGAGAAAAGAAAGAAGTTCTGTCAGACTGATGCAGTTACAGACGGTTCGAGTATCAGTCGTAGTGAGACCAGTATTATGACTAAAGTACGTGTCTCCATGTGCAGCTCTAGACCTTGTCCTTGAGCAGCTTGGTGCTGCTTCCACTCCAGATATTGTTCTGTCTCCTCCATGATAAATATCTGTACACTGTTGTTATAACGTATGAAATATGATATGGTGTTTATTTAATAACTAAACAGGAAACAAACTCATTAAATGTGATTTACTTGCCATAAAGATGCTGTTTACATGGTCATGCATTCCTCATTTCTCCTGCCTATTAAGTGCTTTTACATTTAAAACTTTAATCATACATCTAGGCTTCAGCTTTGATTTCATAATCGAGCATTTGCACGGTCTGTCTGCCTAAATACTCACATATAAGACCAATGAAAACACCTGAATCCTTCTGTGACCACTAACCCACAAGGTGCTCCTCTACACCTCCTGTTATATTAAAGTTTTTCTTAGCTGAATGTTTTTCTTGCAAAATGCAGAAGAATTTAAAGTACAAAAGGGCAGCAACTAACGAATATCTAATTTTTTTTTCACCTGTTGAATTTTCTCTCCATCAGTTGTTTGTGGCACAAAATGTCAGAAAAAAATAAAAAATGTCCACCAGTGGTGCAAAGCCCACGATGGTGTCCTTAAACAGCCCAAATAGATTCAGTTCACCGCCACAGAGGAGCAAAGAAACCACAAAATATACATGCGTTTTAGAAGCTGCAATCAGGGAACTTCTTTCTTTTTTCACTTCGACTGATCGATTGTCAGAATAGTTGAAGATAAAATGATTCACAAAATAGGAAAACTGAAGCTCAGCAGACTTGACTAAATGAGCTTTTTCTGCTTCTGTCTTTAAATTTTAATTGTTCGTTTGGAGTTTAAAGGCACCATTAAAACCATTTAAAACATATGAAATGTGGTCCTCAATGAACGACCATCACACGTGTTAGAGATGTGCTTCTGCTTTCTGTGGGACTCTTACTGCTGTGAACCACGTCCACAATACCTGTTCTGTTTTGTTTTAACAAGAACCAATAAATATAATCATACATTTACATTAAATGATATATTTTAAAAGGTTCCTGTTTATTTTCAGTGCATTAATGTGCACTCTAAGATCCTCAGGTCTGAAGTCTGTTCCAGGGGCTCGACTGGAAACTAAAGGACAACCAGGGTCCTAAAACTCTGCCAGAAGGAACCAGGTCAGCCGGTACACTGTCTTCATAGAACTTTTACTTTTGTAGAAGAGCCTTTCCTGGTTTTAATTTCCTCTCAACTATTTATTTGCAGAAACAGATAGTTCCATCTTCTTCACAAACCTTCATAAACCCACTTTCCCATCGTCTACCTGAGACAATGTCAATCAAACTTAAGTTATCTCTACTTTTGTCATTTCTACTGAGTCAAATCCACTCAGCTTCAGTTTGATATCATCTCAAGCAAACAACAACAAAGAAAAAGTAAATCTACAAAAAACGAGTTATCTGTTGTTGCAAATGAACTCCTGAGTTTCTATCACTCTTTTGCATGCTCTGTCTTTCTGATTCTGATGATTTTATGGCGTTTTTCTGCCTCCTGAAGCACTTTGTAACCTGAACAGTGTCCTATAAATAATCATTATTATCATCTGTGATCATCACAAGTTCACACCATAAAAATCAGAATATGATGAATGGCTGCTGCCTGCAGAGTCACATCCAGTCAGTGGGTTGACAAAGTGTGTTTAAGTCAAAGAAGGATGTTTTTTTTATTTTTTAATCTCCATGGAGGAATAACTTTCAGGTGCATCACTGGACTAAAATAGGCCATCAGCTAATTTGTGGATGCCACATTATTTATACATGTGATCGTAGCGCAGCTGAAAGGTCACTCGTGTGCGTGATCTTATTTCGGGGATGTGGCAGGCTGGCCCGCGGTGTCCTTCTCTGGATCTTGCCCCTGCTCCGTACAGTGGATCCGTTTCACGGCGGTGGTGGCAAACTTCTCGGACGGACTCATTCGGCGCTGCTGCCGGGGCGGAGGGACGACCTGTTCCTGTCAGAGGACCAAACCCGCAGCTCCGTCCGCTGACAGCCGAAGTCATGTGAGGACTCGAGGTGGACAAACACGTCCGTAAGCTGTGGGACTCGCTGACAGAGTTTTTAGGATGTCCGGTTGGTTCCTCCCGCGGCCCCTCCGCCCCCCTCTCCCCCGGCCGGAATGGAACATCCCGGAGTGGTTTGGCAGCGAGGGGCGGGCCGGACTGACAACGTCGCAGGGGGTCGGCTCGCTTCTGTCGGCTCAGCCCGCTCCAGGACCCACGCATGCTGCTGGAAGCTCGTCATTTTCTAACTTTGAAGTATTTTTAATTTTATATTTTTAAATTTCTTCTATTTGTTTTAAGGCAGCGCACAAAGAGAAAGACGCGGCTTGAAGTTTGCTGGTTGTTGGGAATGCGTCTCCAGCTGCCAGGAAAGGTGAGTCCATGCATCTGCACCGAACCTCCGCTCTGCTCAGATCTGCTGCTACTTTGCTCATTTACTGACTAAAACAAACTTTATTTGAAGTCACTTAATGTTGCTTGTAAGAGAGAAGATTATCTGAAACCTGCAGAACCAGCTGTGAAGAACATTTTCTGCACTTCTAATCTGTGTTTGTGGCATTAATTGTCCGGAACCGTCCGGACATGTCAGCTCTGGATCCTCCAGTCTGAAGCTTACAGAGTAGTTAGAACCCAAAGAAGCTGAGATGTTCTGCTCACACAGCTGTAATGATGGTTTTAGTAAATAAAACTCAAAAACCCTGTTAGTGATGTTTGGACCCCACTGGGCTGGGACTGGACCTCTGGTTCTGTCTCTGAACTGAAACCAGCTCAGCCTGAGAACTTCTCATTTCCTTTTTAAAAAGAACCATCAGAGAGGAATATTCTGGGAAGTTTAGCTTTTCAGAAAACTGCTGAATTCACAGTGTTTCTGAATCAGTTTGTGGAGAACCAGCTTTTCTTTTAGCAAACAGTCAAAGGAACCCGGTCCAGAGAAGCGTAGGAGTTCTGTTCATATGATTATAAAGATGCTTCAACTAGTTAAGTCTAAAAAAGTTCTGAAAGTGAAAACCCAGCGTTGTTTGTCTTCCTCAGGAGGCCGGGAGCAGCGCTGATTGTGTATCCGGTGCTCTCAGACAAACTCTGGTTTAGTTTCCCTCTTTGATAAGAGCTTCATTATTAATACGTGTCACTTAACAGAAAACCAAAGTGGAAACTCAACGTCGTGTCTGAACCGACGGTGACGACTGAATCAATATGCAATCATCAGGAAAGAGAGGAAACCAAAACAACAAAGGCGCTGAGGTTTCACATAACTAGAAAGTACCAAACTGCTTAGAATGATTTCTTTATTTCCAAACCTCCTGGTTGTGTGATTGCAGCGTTGGTTGTGTCTCCTGTTGTTCATGTCTTTGTGAAAACAGAACTTTATGAATGGATGAACTGGGAGGCGCCGCTTCTCAGAACACTAAACTCCAGATTTCACTCTGACTTGTAGAGCAGAGAGCGACAGGCCTTTCCGTCCAGCCACATCTGAAGACATGTTGTGCTGGACTCTGCCAGACTGGAAAGTACTGCTGCTGATTGTTCTGCTGTGGGACGGAGTCTGGGCCGAGGGACTGAAACCCACGAGATGGCCGCTGTATTCCCGAAACCCTCTGCTCCTCGCGTGGAACGCCCCGACTGAAGACTGTGCCCCGCGGCATGGCATTCATTTTCAGCTGGACCAGTTCCAGATCGTGGCCTCACCCAATGAGGGCTTTGTTAGACAAAATCTGACCATTTTCTACAAGGACCGCCTGGGCCTGTACCCCTACTTTGAGTCAGATGAGACGCCGGTGAACGGGGGGCTGCCTCAGGTGGCCAGCCTCACGCAGCACCTGGAGAAGATGCCAGAAGGTGTTCGCAGGTATATCCGTGAACCAGAGGCCAGAGGCTTAGCTGTCATTGACTGGGAGGAGTGGCGCCCCCTCTGGATACGCAACTGGGACAACAAAGATATTTATCGCAGGCACTCTAGTGAGCTGGTGCGCCAGAAGAACCCGACCTGGCCCCCGGAGCAGGTGGGCAAAGTGGCCCAGCAGGAGTTTGAGATGTCTGCCAGGAGGTTCATGCTGGAGACGCTGAGGCACGCCAAGAACCTGAGGCCCAACCAGCTGTGGGGCTTCTACCTGTTCCCCGACTGCTACAACCACGACTACCGGCACACCCTGGAGAGCTACACGGGCCGCTGCCCGGATGTGGAGGTGTCCCGCAACGAGAGGCTCAACTGGCTGTGGACCGAGAGCACTGCCCTCTTCCCCTCCATCTACATGAGCACGGTGCTGCAGTCCTCGCCGTCCGGACGCCAGTTCGTACGGAACCGCGTGAAGGAGGGGATGCGGCTGGCTTCGTCGGGCACCGGGTTGGCACGTCCGGTCTTTGTGTACACCCGGCCCACCTACGCCAACTCCATGGAGCTGCTGACAGAGGTGACGCCGAGTTCCTCTTCCTGATGCACTTGTTCTGCCTTCTGTGCACCGCTCTGGTCTAAACCCACTAATGTGTTCCTGTTTGAACCCCTTCAGCACACAATAGGGACTTTCTGTCGCTCCGGGCCTCTAACATTCTGCACTCACTCGTCTATATCAGTGCATGCTGCATGGTTCTCTACTTTTCCTTATCGTCCGCCACAGTTCTTTCCTGTCCTGGTAGCACTCAGACACCCCAACACCTTTGGTTTGTGCGGAGTCGGCAGGAAGTGTGTTGAAAACCTGGCTGAACACCCTATAGGCTGTTTCCTTTTGGGAGGATGAGCAGATAAGAGCCGGCGCTGTGCTTCACATACAGTAGCTTCTGACCCACTAACAGTTTGACCCTCTTGGCCGTGCGCTCTCACAAATGTAAAGTGCTGCATCATCTTTTCCAGACTGACCTGGTTTCCACCATCGGGGAGAGCGTGGCGTTGGGAGCTGCTGGGATCATCCTGTGGGGAGAAGCAACCTACGCCAGCAGCAGGGTGAGCATCAGCACGCTGATTAGGAGACAAACGCTTTCATCAGTCACACACAACTTCTGAATTTTTACCACAAACATAATCGCCTTTGACTTGCTGTCATGTGTGCAGTCATTTGACGCCGGCGGCTCCGCGGGGCTTCAGGTCACACTTCAGTCACATGGATGCTCCTCAGATAAACACAAAGCATTTGTCTGAAGGACTTTGATCTCGTTTGGTGCCGATTTAAAATCCGGAAATCTGCCGTGAAGAGTTTGTTTAATCTTGTGAAGAGCCACGCGTGTTGAAAAGTGTGCAGGATCCACTTCAGATACAGTCACGTTCATAGAGGTGTGTTTTACAGCAACTGATTTAAAGTAGTGTTCTCATCTTTGTATTTGAAAATAAAAGTGTTTAACACATGTATTAGGTGACATCCAGTATACTATACACATCACTTCTGATCATGATTCCTGTGAAAATACTTTGTGTTCTGTCTATTATTGGAAACACTGGATGTTCACAGATGTCTCACAGCTGAAACCAGTCGTTGTCTCTGCTACTGACAGTCAGGTGTCTGTTAGTTTCATTATATTGTTATATTCCTCAGTTACAACTAGTAAGAATGAAAAAGATCCAGCGCTGTTCCTCACCTGCCTAAAATACCTTGTTTGAAGTCCAGGTTATGTACCTACATCACCATGAAACACGGGCTGCACGGTGGCTTGGTGGTTAGCATCGTTGCCTCACAGCTAGAAGGTCGCTGGTTGGCGTCCCGGTGAGGACACCCGGGATCTTCCTGCGTGGAGTCTCCATGTTCTCCCCGTGCAGCGTGGGTTCTCTCCGGGTTCTCCGGCTTCCTCCCACAGTCCAGAAACATGCTGAGGTTAATTGGTGATTGTAAATTGTCCGTAGGTGTGAATGTGAGTGTGCTTGGTTGTCTGTCTCTAAGTGTAGCCCTGTGATAGACTGGTTACCTGTCCAGGTGAACCTGCCTTCACCCTGAGTCAGCTGGGATAGGCTCCGCCCCCCATGACCCTGGTGAGGATTAAGGTGTAGAGATGATTGATGGATGGACCATCAAACACAACTGCACAGTATCTGTCTTTGGCAAACAGAAAGTGAGCAGCTACCTTGCAGTTCATGATTATTTTCTACCCAGAGGTTCTTAATTAACTCTAAAATGTCTCGAGCACGAGCACAGCTGAACCGTAGACCGTAAGTACAGGATGGACTCAGACATCACCAATCGGTTTGCTTCCATTTTGAAGCATTTTGAGTTTGACTGCTGCCATCCCAGACTCAAAGAGCATGAGGTGATTCGTCTCATGTAGTCAGACAGAGTGGTCTGGCTGCACCTCATCATCATTCTGCTGGTTTGTATTTCTTTAAACCAATCTCACTCGTATGTGGCGAAGGGAAGAACGTGGCAGCGGTGTGCATGAAGGCAGCCAGTGGTAGACTCCTACTGCACCTGGTGACTTGTTTACATTCAGGTTTGTGTTTGCAGCCAGAGGAGACGCCCCCTGCTGGTTATTAGGACTAGTTTAAGGCACTTTGCTGTTGGCTTTCAGACTCTGTCCACCTTTTATATAAAGTCTGTGTAGGCAGGCTTTATGCTTTCTAAAGATCCTGTGAGTTACTTACTAATTAACTGTGTTTTTGAACTTTAAAACATCTTAACCTCGTTTAGAATAGAACAGAATGCCTTTATTGTCACTATACACATGTACAATGAGATTGAGAACAGCTCCTTCAGTGCCATATAGTACAAAAAGTACAAAATAAAGAGCAAAAAAATGAAAAATAGAAGAGATTTAAGTATAAGTTTAAACTGTCTGAACTGCTGCCATCAGGCAAACGTTCCCGGAACGTTAGAGGAAGAACCTCCAGCTTCATGCCACCAGCTGTCAGAACGCTGAACTGCTGATCCAGAGATGCAAACACTTGTTTATTTAAACTGCTTTAAGTTGTTGGATCCTGCAGAAACGCTCTCATCCTGCCTGTACTGCTGTGGATGTACAGCAACATGACAATAAACTGGATTGGATTTGATTAACAGACCCCAAAGACACAACTTTGGATCTGTATCTGAGTATAAAAACTGGTATATATGAGTATCTTTTAAGCTCCTTCAACCGATTGCAGTCACCTGAGCGTGAACAGGGACAGCTAAATGCCCACAGACTGAGTGTGTTCATTTCCTCTCTCTCCAGGCGAGCTGCTCTGACCTGGACTCGTATCTCCGGGGCACGCTGAGCCGGTACCTCCTCAACGTCTCCACGGCAGCAGAGCTATGCAGCCAGACCCTGTGTGGTTCCCACGGCCGCTGTCTGCGCAGAAACCCAGACAGTGACGTCTACCTGCACCTGAGCCCCGTCTCCCACAGCATCGTGGAGCGAGGCGGCAAGCTGGCGGTCGCCGGCGAGCTCAGCGACGAGGACAAGGCCAGGCTTCAGGCGGAGTTTCAGTGCCAGTACTACCGGCGCTCCTCTGAGGAGGGGAGCTACAACCAGACGGACCCGGTGCACCAGAGGGGGACGGCGGCTCGGACCACAGCGTCCCGGTGTGTGATGCTGCTGCTGCTGGTGCTCCTGCTCCTCTGCTGATGCAGCAGCTGGAGAGATGAGGAGTTTAATGGAGAGAGGAGTGTCATTTAGGTCTGTCTTCTTCAGTTGCTGTAAAATATGGATGACACAAAGTGAATTTTTTTTAAAGAAACACTGTGGAAATTGCAAAGTAGTATTTGTTTATAGCTCTTAATCCTTTTGTAAACGGCGGAGGGCTCGCTGGAAGTGACCTTGTTTACATTTTGCTCTCAGTCACTGTTTCCCAAAGTGTCAGATTCCATGTTTCTCACAGTGAGGATGCTTCTGTGGTCGACGTGATGAGTGGGTCGGTGCACGCCGTCGCTGCCAAGTGGCGAAAGTGGAAATGATGCACTTAAATCTGTTCATAGCACAATATAGCCGAAGTGCCTGATCTCTCTTCAACGTGACCTCTCCGACATCTGATTTTTATATGGAGGCAATTACAGTATTACTATTTATTTGAATGTATTTGTAGGTGTTTTCTATGATATTTTCTTATTTTTATGTCCAAAAAAAAATGACTACTAGTTTTCTCTTAAGACGTGTTTTTTTTTCCCATTTAAGCTGCACATGTTGCAGCTGTCTGACTTCATAGTGTCAACATCCAGTTTTGGACTTTGTATGTTCAGTGATTTCGTGACATTAACGCCTCTCGTATGCAAACATTTGCTGTTTTCTGAACGTGGACAGTAAATAAACTCCTTTGTTGAGCTTCTGGTGTAATTCTTGTGAAGGTTTACAGAAATGGAGACGTGTTTGCACTGTTTTCATGTAGCAGCAAAGTTGGAATTTACATCTTTGGGATTACAGGTATGCTTTATTTGTCTGCAATCAATGAACGCTCAGCTTGAGGGGAAACCTCAGTGAGTCACCGCTGGCCAGGGGAGTCCAAAGCAGCCACTTCTCAGGGAGGGACGCAGTCTGCAGGCTGCAGCTTCATACCCCTTCCCCATGTAATTGTAGGGTGTCTCAACCGAGGGTTATTTTTTACTACTTTTAAGAGTTGAGCAAAGGAGGAAGAGTTCATTATGGCTTTGCCTAACAGTCATTTAGAGGAGCGCTGTGGAGCCGCTCCAGATCTGCTCATTAAAATGTGTATTTCTGGCTATAATTACTTTTTCTGTTTTTTAATTGAAGCAAACCAGAATGTGTTCGGTGCAGTCAGACGATCAGTTTTCAGGTCTCTGTGACTTTAAATCCACTGTTCCTGAGTGGGATTAGCATGTCTCTTTCTATTGGTCGGTAGAACTCCTGAGCACACTTGGGATTGGTTCTTTCTTGGTTCGTCCTCTTTTCCTGCATGTGTCATTCACATCATGAGACGTCTGTTTTCATGACCACACCGCAAACCCAAGTCCTGACGTCTGAATCTAGGTAAGCCAGAGTCTGTAAGTTTGCTCTTAAGTCTGTTTTACACTGTTTTACATGAATAGTTGATGATTTTAGCCCAAAGCAGCCACATGACAAACATCATCTGGGATTTTCTGGAGAGTCAGGCAGCATTAAAAAGTGAAGAAAGCAGCACATGAGGTCAGAAGTTCAAACTGTTGCTGCTAAAACAGATTATAAAAGCTTTAAAGCACCATGTTTGATTTTAATCTTAATCTTGTCTCACACCTAAAAGTTTTTTTTTGCAATGCTATTTTGCAATGTTCTCCTTCTTGCACAACTCATTGGGTAACACCAGCGCTGCCGTCTGCTGCCTCCCTGCAGGGATGAGGTCCTTCCATCCTGAGCTGCTGCTGCTCTTCAGCCTGATCAGCCTCCACTCTGGGCTGCAGTTTGCATCATCATCATCATCGTCTTTCTCCCGGGTTCCTTTCCTCAGCGTGTGGAACGCCCCGACCGCCAGCTGCCTCTCTCAGTATGGCGTCGACCTCGACCTGGGGACGTTCAGCATCGTCCAGAACCAGAACCAGACGTTCATGGGGGACAACATGACCATCTTCTACGCTGAGAAGCTCGGTCTGTATCCACGGTACTCCAGCCAGGGGAACCCTATCAACGGTGGGGTGCCCCAGAACAGCAGCCTGAGCGAACACCTCAGAGCTGCCACTGCAGACATCCACACCTACATCCCCGACCGGGCCTTCCAGGGCCTGGCGGTGGTGGACTGGGAGAGCTGGAGGCCTGTGTGGGAGAGAAACTGGGACAGTAAGCAGGTGTACTGGGAGGCGTCGAGAGCACTGGTGAGGTCCAGGCATCCGGACTGGAGCCCAGCGCAGGTAGACGCTGCAGCACGAAAAGAGTTTGAAGAAGCTGGGAGACGATTCATGGAGGAAACTCTGAAACTGGGGCAGCAGGAGAGACCAGATGGTTTGTGGGGTTATTACGGTTTCCCCAACTGCTACAACTACTACAGTGACAAGAGCGCTAACTACACGGGGGAGTGTCCGGCTGTGGAGCTGAAGAGGAACGACGAGCTCCTCTGGCTGTGGAGCGCCTCCTCCGCTCTGTTTCCTGACATCTACCTGAGCATGGAGATGCGAGGCCTCCACAGAGAGGTGCTGCTCTACGTCCACCATCGCATCCTGGAGGCCATGAGGGCAGGAGCTCAGGTGAGCACGTCAGCACCGCCTGTGTTGGCCTACGCTCGCATCGTCTACACCTACACGCTACACTTCCTCTCTCAGGTGAGCAGCAGGTTTTTTAAAACTCATAGATTAATTTGTTGTCATGAATATTTGACCGACCTCGTGTGTCCGTCCACAGGAGCATCTGGTCTACACTCTGGGAGAGAGTGCTGCTTTGGGATCTGCAGGAGTGGTGCTGTGGGGCGACCACGCCTTTTCCAAATCTCAGGTACAGTGACTAGAAATGGTTGTAGTGATGAACACTCGATGTCTTTCTACACCTGCCTGTGGTGTCCAGGTGTGATCGACTGTGGTTGTGTTTCTGTGTTTTTGTGTTTCCTGCCTGCCTGCAGAGGAGTTAAGTTAAGTTAAGTTAAGTTAAGTTAAGTTAAGCTAAGCCTAGATATCAGCGTAAGCCTGCTTGAATCTATTGTAGAAAAAGTTTGTGACTTTTTAAAGTATTCTGTTTTTGTAAACAAGTGTTGCGGCTTTCATGCCTTTATTAGAGTTATCTGCTTCAAACATACGGGCTTTAGGTAAAGGAGGGACGTGTTTGGGTTAAATGTAGACAGAATTTAAAATGAAATGATATATAACTACTAAAAGCAAAGGAAATAATAGTTCTGGTGAGTCTAAAAGACGTCTTTCACTGAAAATGGAGATTGAACCATTTTATCTATTGACTTGAAACTAGCTTCTTGTTTTAAACCAACTCTTCTAGATAGACGGTGTTTTGTGTGCTTGGTGTCTATGGTGATCTGTGAGTCACTGGATAAGAGGAAACAAACTTCAGACAAACCCTGATAGAGACGAGCCGATAACATGCCGGTTCATGATTTGTGCAGAACGTTTCTAAATGATTCCCTTCATGAGCATCCGTCCTCACTGCTTGTGTGAAAGCTGCAAACAGACGCCTACACACTGTGGAACTTGCAATCATGCATTTATTTTGTTATGCCTGTTAAAAAACAAGTTAGACAGGATGTGGAAGTCCATGAGACATTCTTCTCCTTCGCCTTTGCACTGGTCTAATTAAACAGATGTATGAAGAGGTTCTTATTTTGCTCTTAAAATCAGCAATATTAAAAAACCTGATCTTGTTTCGGTGGATTTCAGAGGATGTTAAGAAACTGTGTGTCGGATGTTTTAAAACTTCCTTCCATGTTTTTTAGTTTGGTGTTCTGTCAGAGTACGTCTGACGTTATTTCATATCTCTGATCGAACACCCGATTACAAATATGTGCTTTAGTTTTTTTAGTAATTTTGTGCTCAGCTGGACGCCGTCGTTTTTAGCAAACTGCAGTAAATGAGGCCTTTTGCTGGAGGCTATTTTCAGCTGCAGATGAGAGTATTTGTGGCAGCAGGATGGTGTCCGGTATGAGTCAGAACAACGTACAGCGCTCGTAGAGCAACAGAACGGCTCTTTGTTGTGTCTTCACCACTTTCTGGACAACAGCTACAGCACAGAGGGATGAATGACATGTGGCTGCACAGAAGAGCTGACGATGGACTCAGAGTGTTCAACAAGAAATATTTCTGCTGGTGGATTTGCTCAGAACACTTAAACTTTGCTTCGACCACCTTCAGCTGGCTCGAGCTACTTTTTTTTTCCTATGGAGCAAAGCTTATCTGCTGGGAAAATACTAACTGTCCTGTTATGGCGTTGGCTTTATCAGTCTGATGACCGATATTTCACTTCAAAATGAATCTCCAGTTCACTGTGTCTTGTTTCCGTCCTGCTCTCAGGCTTCCTGTGAGGCCGTCAAGTCCTACCTGGACGACACTCTGGGTCCCTACCTGGTCAACGTGACGACGGCCACCGTGCTGTGCAGTCAGACCCTCTGTTCCTCTCAGGGTCGGTGCCAGAGGAAGAATCCCAGCTCACGGGTCTACCTCCACCTGGACCCTGCTGTGTGGAAGATAGCGTCTGAGAGGAGACCAGGAGGAAGGAAGAACTACAGAGTTCTAGGACGGATGTGGGCTCGTGATTTAAAGCGGATGGATGCTGACTTCCAGTGCAGGTGTTACCCTGGCTGGGCGGGGGAGAGCTGCTCCACGCCAGTTCAGGGATGAAGCTTTTCTTCAAGGAGGTGAGCTTGTGACAGCGTGAGACTCATGAAGAGCAGGAAGATCTGCTGGGAGGAGCTGGGAAATGAACAACTCTGTGAGGGAATGTGGTCTCTGGTGAATGGACGTCTTTGACCCGTGTGTCTGTGAACATTCTCAGTCATCCAGGTCCTGGTTCTTCTCCGAGTTTAGTCGTAGCAGCTGGACCTGCTTGAGTTCCTTGAAGACGTTCCACCTCTCATCCAAGAGGCTTCATCAGCTCTGACTGACTAGCTGGGAGATCCAGATATCCTTTGACTCGTGTGTTTTATGAATGAATTGCTTTTGAATTTCTTTTTTTTTGTTGTTGATAATGTTGTAGATTTTAAAATAAATCCCAAGTCGTGTGCAGGCTGCTTTCTACATCGCCGTGAACTTCAAACAACGTGTTGTTTGATGACATGAGTCCTAGAAGTCAGCTTCAGAGTCCCTCAGAGTCCCACAGAGTCCCACAGAGTCCCACAGAGTTCCTCAGAGTCCCTCAGAGTCCACCTCCAGTCCACCTGCAGTCCACCTCCAGTCCAACATTCTGCTGCTTCGACGTGCCCAAAGTTTGACATCCGACCAAGGAGAGAAAGTTTCTCTGTGCTCACCTTTAATTTGAGTCGAGGACGTGTTCATGCGAGATGATTTGGAGGCCAGTCATGGTTCAGTGAGCCACTCGCTCAGGTGTGATGTGGAAACCTTCAGCTTGTCACCTGTCAGTGAAGAAGCACATCTCGTGTCCTGCGGTTTGATAACATTTGCATAGATTCTGGTTTCAGTTCAGGAGGAGCAGCTGTAGGATTTATTTGTTCTTTTAGATTCATTTCAGAGACACATGAATCAGTACAAAGCTCCTACAACTACAGGATAAGACTGATTTAATGTAAACACGTTTTAACCAGGTGACTGAGCTTTTTTTTTATTCCTTATTGTCGTCTAACTTGATCCCAGCAGACATTCTGACCCGCCGTAGCTCAGGTGCAGCCACCAACACTGACAGAGGTTCTGTATGAACAGAACCAGGCCTGGACCTGCTCGGCTACATGCAACACGGCCGTCATTAATGCTCTTTACTGTACCTGTGCTCTTTGTGCTTTGGCGTCTCCAGATTCTCATCCAGCAGCTTTATAAGAACCCTGCTGGATCAGAACCTGTACCACACAAAGCCTGGAAGCATTTAAATGTTTGAATCACTGCATAGAGAACGATTTAAAGTCAGTTTGAGAGGATATCTCTTCAAACTGATCGTGGTTATAAGACTTCATTTGGAGGAATCGTACTTTTATGCTGCTGCCAAGGCAACTAGAGATGGAAAGTAACTGAGTACATTTACTCAGGGGCTGTACTAGAGTAGTTTTCCAGAGTTACCACCTTGTGCCACTTTTTTAAAACCACCCAGCAGTATGTAGATATATTATATACTCAGATGTAGAGTTAAACAGACTCTGTGTTTACTACACTGTGCCTGATGAGTACTTTTACTTTGAGTACTTTAGCTGAGAGTACTTCAGCTTCAGTAAAGCATCTGGACATATCTTCCTGCTTCGGTCGGATTGGATCTTTAGTACTAGCTGGACTACTTTTTTTCTAAAGCAAACCCCGCTTGCCTGTGATCTGCATGTAGATTTTCATTTTAAATGTCTGCAGCTTTGTGACCAGCAGGTGGCGCTGTGGGACAGCTAACTGGAAGAAAAGACGCCAGACATCAAGGTCGGCGCTCCGGTTGCTGGTAACCTCAGCAAGAGTCAAACAACTGTGGAGGCAGAAGCGTGTTTGACTCAGTGTGTGAGGTTTTAATGGGTTTAACCAGCGACTCAGCCGGAGCTCAGCGGTGAATCAAACTCACCACAACGGAGGACCAACGCACAGCGACGGCAGCTTAAGGTGACCTTGATTGATTTGCGTGTTGTCTTATCTGATGGCTGCCACGGCTCCAAACCGGCGCCATCGCTGGTGACTTCCCTCCTCTGGTCAGTTTCCCACAAGGCCCGGCTGTTCCCCACTTCCTGCTTTATCATGAGGAGCTGTGTTGTGAGGACATGAGGAGGAGATGGAGGCGCTTTTGAAGGCGAGGCATCTGCTGCAGGCTGTAATGCAGGTTTTTGCACTTCATTGTGCAGCAATTTTCTGAACAAGACAAGCAATTTATTCCTAAAACACTGTGTTTATCTGTAATAACTAAATAATTGCAGGGAAAAAAACTCACAACAGGTCCCTCACGCTGATTCACATCCAGTTTATTATTATTATTATTATTATAATTCACTCTGGTGACGTATAGTTCGCCTTTACCGTCCAAATATAGCAGAGAAATTACGGCCACATAATGCTCCGTATGAAAAGCTTGTTCAAGTTCAGAACCGAGGTAACCGGATCGTACACCGTGTACCCTTGTGTTTGATATTTTACGACAGTTTGACCTCAAACGCGGTTCTATTTCATATGAGACACTGAATTTCACGCATCACAAGCAGCCTTTTTAAATGATATCACGAACTTGAAAATTATCTTTCAGTGTGTTAGCGGAGGCCTTTCAGATCTGTTTATCTGCTCGGAGTGGTCGTCTCTTCTTCCTCCTCCTCCCTCTGTCAGGCCTGGCAGGCCTCCTCTATTTCTCTATCCTCTCATCTCTGCGTTTCTTCATTTCGGCGTCTCGCTCTGTCACCCCTCCATGGTCACGTCTCTCCTTTCCCTGCTGCTCGGTCTGGAGATCGTCTTGCGCGCTCTTGGTTTAATAACTGTTTTGTCACGCTCCGTGTCTGTCCTTCAGAGGAGTCGACTCTCTGATCAGGTTTCTTAAAGATCCGATGCGCGCTTGTTTACATGATTTGTGTTTGCATTTGTCACCGGAGCGGCGGCGCTGTGCATTGATCAGGCTGTTAAATGCTCGTTACGTACCTTGAAAACATGACACACGATGAAAAGATCGAGACCCTTCTAATGGGTGTTCGCTAAACATGAAGCTACAAACACAAAGCAGTTAGCGGAGCGTGGAGTCAGGGGGAAACTGCAAGCCTGGCTTTGTTGAGAGAGATAAAGAGAAGAAACACAGTCGTGACTCGATAATCTGACACTAAACCTTCTTTCATGTCGGATTGTCCAGACGGAGGTCCAGATACGAGGAGGGCTTGATGCTGGAAGGCTCATTAGTTGTTCATTTTTGTTCATAGTTGTTATAATAACTGGTGTGTTGTTAGAACACTACGCATCGCTGGACTTCAGCCTAACTGACCGGTTTGTGCACGTTCCGGCCACTTCCACCCCGGGGCAGCGCTCTGACGGGGTGGAAGTGTCCAGAACACACAGGCAGTACTTGGCTGCTGATGCTAGTTTAGTTAGCGCTCACACTTCTGTTTCCTCCATCGGTGGCGGCGGGGGAGTGGCAGATACGCTCCACCGTTACCATCCATGTTTACTTCCATAAACACTGAGCACGCTCGCTGCGTGTGACGTCGTCGTGTCCTCTTCTGCGCATGCGGGACACTTTTGGCTCGTATGAAGTTCACACAGCAGATCACATACAAGTCGCATTGAAGTGGAAACGTGAAGGAAGTCACAAAGAAATCCTCATTGAGCATCAAGTCCTGCAGTGTGAACGTAGCCAATCTGTGGGATTGTTCAGTCAGATAATACGCCGTCATCCTGATTGGTGACATTAAATGTCATGTCGGAGTCACAATCCAAGGCTGTCGCTATGTTAAGGCTGTTTTTATGGGTTCTGTTGGTTTTTCCTACAAACCTGTCGGATAGCAGGTTTAGGATTGTTAAGGATCGGGTAGTCGGGTCACGACTGTACCAGTGTAGCGTGTGAGGGAGGAGGTCGGGTTGGATGGACGGGTCAACAACACGTCTGACTTCGCCTCAGAACTCAGCCAGTCGAGGTTGTTGTTGAACCACGAGGCTGAAATTTACAACAGCTTCAACAGTTTCTGTAAGCGACCCCTGATCGTTCCCTGTCACACATAAAGTGTTTCTCGTGCTTCATCTAATCCGTTGCACTCTGAGACCAAAGCAAAGTTTTTAATTTTGAAACCGCATCCCGTCAAAACTGGCGTCAGATCACAAGATGCTCAGATGTCTCCTTCTGGACTTAATTTGGACGACTTGTGATCGAGTCCTCCTGGTCGGGAGCCGTGACTTGTCAGCATCAGCTGGTTTCTGTTCAGATTAAATAAACAACATGTAACATGTTCATTTGCGATCCTTTCAACGGACCCACGTCAGCTGTTTCCAGTCTTTGTCCCAGAATGTTTTTCCTTTTATGAAAGCCACGAGGAACATCCAGCTTTTTACCATAACAAGTAAAAAAGAAGCACATGACCTTTTATGTGCATTCGGCGAATGATAAACAGCAGCTTTTGTATGAGCTGGAGCTCCACGGCTCTATTTCAAACCAAAAGCAGCTGATTGTGAGCGAGAAGCCTGGAACAGCTGATAGAAGGTGGTGTTTGAATCACCTTTTATCACACCTCCAGGTAAGTAAATGAAATCAGAGCGGTGAATCGGAGACGAGGAATGAAAAGGCAAAAAAAGGCGGAGTGGTGGGGAGGTCACGGCGTCCTATTTCTGAGGAGATGGAGCTCCGATATCGCTCCACTTTGAGGCTGCTGTCGAATCACTACGAGGCCGCGTCCTGCCGCGGTGCGTCACACGGCTGGATGCTGATCGTGATCGATGTAAGTTCATGTAAAGGAAAAACATCACAGGGATGTACAGCACCAACGGCTTCCTGCTCCTGTGTGTTAAGCATAATGTCTGTTTGTTGTTGAGGATTTGCTTTCTCCGCTGTACGCCTCCTGATGAGAGGCGACCTGACAGACTGTCACATGTGACTTATCCAGCACCGTGCTCAACCCCAGCCCTGCCCCGCGAGACCCCATCAGAACTCAGAGAACATCATTTAAGAGCGAGAGCAAACTCACATTCACACACTGGCTGCACAAAGGTGGCTCCAGCCAAAGTCACACAATAACCGAGCGCCCAGGAGCCATTCAGGTGGAAAATTACACCGCCCAATCAATCGCTAATAGAAAGTCTTTCCTCTGGTCGAGGCCAATCAAAAGCTCACAATGTGGCCTCTCCTGGAAACAACAGCCAATCACTTGTTCACAATGCTTGTCGCTGTCATGTTGATCCTGATAAAGTGTAATTATTCTCTGTTTTCACGGACACATATCGACGGCGTTGGGCAGTGACGAATGATGACGATAAATAAATGCGAGATAATGAGAAAATAACGAAGGAAATGGAAGAAGAAGAAGCATTTTTTTTCCAACCCCGATGCCCTTTCAGTTTGTAATTAATTCAAATGTGATTTTTTTTTTTTTTCCTTTCTGCGAGCATATAATCCATTTCAGCGTTTTCTCATTCATTTTATAGGATTTGATCTTGGCTCAT